CTGCTGGACTCAAGTGGCCATCTAAGCTACCAAAGTGGAAACAGCCCTTGGTCTTCCTGGAAGCTGAAGAGGAACTTAAAACTCTGGTAGTCAGACAAACTTGCTGTAAAGACATACATTTGCTGATAATACACAACATAATCCTGCCACAAAGGACTCCTACAAGGCCCCTAATTATGAGGCTCTAAGAGCGTTTTAATTTAAAGCAAATGTATTTTAAATTCAATTTATTCTTCTATTTATCTTCAGATTACCTAGGTAATACGCACAACAATAATCCCTTATAAATACAACAATTAACATTAAACTAATAAAATGTACTCTGTGTGAGACCAATACTTACCTAGAAGCTAAACCTGTTTTTAATACACCTTTATTGCAAAAGTGTCTGCATCACCAGACGATGAGAAGATTAAACAATGGCTATACCAATTATTAAGATAATTGTTTCACATGAAATGATGTGCCAAATGTCGGTGTTTTAATCAAACAATTTACAAGAAATTGTAACATATGTGCACAGGCAAAAACCTGCAAAAACACAATGTGGTTTTACTGACATTCATTAAGAACTCACCCATTACTGATAACATTTGATAGAGAATCTGAGGTCAAATGCTCACACCATTTCTGTAAAGCTTTGCATTATTTTCCTAGGTATGAAGTCCAATTTCAAAGCATCTATATTTTAACTCACTCGTTAATTCAGATCAGGGTATTTGTCCATTACTACCAAAGACAAAATCCCCGCTGTCACAGACCTCGGGCTCTGGTGCTTTTTGGGACTGTTTTGTTACGCAGTCACAACTCCTGCCTAAGGCTAATGAGCATGGAGTGAGATGTCCTCTGAACAAACTGCAAATGCCACCTTCAAAGGAGACACGCAGTGCCCCAGTTTTGTGGCCACAGGGAGCTGTCTGCCAGGACTAAGATTAAAATTGTCTCTTGTTACCATAAAATATCTGGTAAAAGATTACATGTGGAAGGAGTTAGAGTGACCTAGAAGGCTGGGACCCAGGGTTGGACTTTGTAAGCTAATGTACAGTGTTCATGTTTAATCTTTATAGTGTCTATTATAAAAAGTGCCCCGCATATTGTCACACATTGTCATCAGGCCTGCCGACCCAGACTTGCCCTACTCAGAGGATATTGGTGTCTTTCAGCTGGCAACATTTTCCTGTCGTTTGTTCCCTCAGAGGCTGGAAACAGAGGTTGCACTTTCCTAATGAGGAAGTGAGGACAGAACAAAGGCTTTACAGTATGAATGTGATGTCAAGCTTTTTTTATATATCATACTGTGGCCTTTGTAATCCTCTGTCAAAAGAGGAGTTTGGGGTTATGGTTGAAACCAGAAGCAGCCACAACAGAAGACTCGCTCTGCTAGGTATCGACAAACTAAGAAGCCACAGGATTTTAAATAAATAAATAATCAAGGAGCAAAATACAGGGCTATTGGGATGTTGGTTTACTGAGTTATATTCCTATGTTATAATAAGGACTAATCCACTCTATTCATGTATTTTTCTTTTGCTCTCCCTGTCATTATCTCTATCTTACATTCCCTCCAAGAAAGAAAAAGTGGAGTGATTTAGAAAGCCTCCACTGATCATGTAAAGGGTCAAGGTCTGTTTGGACTCTTCTGCCCAGCAGGAGAAACTTTATACGTAAGCCTGATGGCCTTTGAAGTCCTCCGAACGACTGCAAGAAAACTCTCCTTCCTGATCAAAGAACGAAAGAGACAGGGAAATCTGAAAAATATGATACCTTGCTGGAGCTGTGTGAATGATGATGTATAGAATAAATACTTTTGAGTGACTGTGGATGTTATTTTTTCATATATAGTTTAGAGTTGCACAAGGAACATTAGCATTATCTGCTGAGGAAAAATCTGCAACTTAAAGGTGGGGTATGTCATTTATTTCAGAAACACTTTTTGTTATATTCCATGGAATGCTCTTAACATCCCGATAGCAATGAATACATGAAATGCTTTGACAATAAATACATAAAAAAAATGTCATCTGTGGAAGCCGTAGCGCTGTAAAAAGCACGACCAATCATCTGAGCCGCCCGGCTAAAATAACTGGATGGCCTACCTGCCTGTCAGCCTTCCATCTGTGCACAAACTTATCTTGTGCCCTCATTGGTCATGTGCACGTTCGTGTATGTTGGAGGAGGGGCTCTGTAAGGAAGTCTGAAGGGAGAGGCAGATTTTTTCCGGTTTTGTACTTTCAAATTCTAGCTCACTCGAGCTGCATGGTTTCTCCAAAATTACATACCCCACCTTTAAGTGAGAGGTTCAGGAGCATTTGATTTAGTCTCAGCTCCCCTAATGTTGTTATTGCCTGAGAATCATTTCCATCGTCAGTGCAGTTACAAATAGAAAGAAGAATCATCTAGAAATGAAACCAAATGAGCTCAGTTTTGTATCTCGCAGTGAGGTTGGCATGACTCTGAAATATCTGCATCAGTCATGTGGCTGTTTACGACTCAGCTGACATTTGTCATAATTATCCATGTAACTTAATAATGTATGAAAACCCACACTGACTAATCGTATGGATTAGGATGCGAGATTTCCTACCATTGTGGTGGTGCCAAGAGGGCCTAATTTATGGATTTCTTTGCATAAATTCATAAAAAATAACAATATAATTTTCCTGATTTCATAAATAGTGACATAATGACTCCCAGCCACATACGGATTTGAATAAACATCACATTTTCATATTCAATTCATCAGTCAACTGTTTCATTACATTGGTTGCAAATGTTATTTTCCTTAATTGAGATCTAAATATTGTTTTGAAACCATTTTCACATTGCCAGGAAAAATGTTCTATTGGTATTGGAATCAGCCAATCTATAAAGTTTTGTTTTGTTTATCAGAGGTTAAACAGAAACACAAATAAGAACAGATTTAACATTTACAGTAGTACACCCTTTTGTATTATAATAATACAACTTCTAAACCTATGGACTTACCAAAGCAGAGTTCTGAACTACTGAAAATAAAAGGGGTATGTTTTCATATAGGGCATAAGGCATCTGATTTTGATAAGCCAACTCAAACACAGAAACCAGCGCATGCATCAAGTTATTTTAGAAACAACAGGAACAAACCTAATGTTATTCCAGTCAAAGGGGATATTAATAATCATTTTGATTCAAAAAGTTGAAGTAAAAAAAGTCTGACTTAGTCCTCAAAAGGCTTTTAATGCGAGCCTATGAGTTCGCAGTTTCCAATCGTATGTTAACTTTCTTTTTTTTGTAGGATTATCCTTTACCACCCCACTACAAATGACCCATTAATATTCTCCGATGTTTGTTGTTTTTGTGTGAATATCCAGAATGGGACCGATGATAAGAGCTGCAGCCATCGTGACTTCAGGTCCTCCGTATCGTTTTCCTTTCATCGTCACCACAGACATCAGTTGGTTCATTGACCCAGTGATGTCCCTCCAGTATCTCTGCCTCCCAAGATAGAAGCAGAAGACTGAGAGCTGCTCCTCTGTGTCTCCTGTATCTGCGTCACTGACTGATAATCACGTCTTTACCGGCAGCCTTCACTTGATGCCTTATCTCAGCCTGGGAGTGCCAAAACGGATGCACACTATGGGATGCACGTTCCCTAACTGGGGGTTGTGTGTGTGTGTGTGGGGGGGGTGTTGGGATCTGGACACTCATCGGTGATCATACTATCAAAGGTGAGTGTGTCAACAAGTCTCCTCCTTTATTTCAGAAGAGAGAACATGTGTGTGTGGGATTGTTTTAGTCACACCTACTTGGCATTCTACCCCTTTCAATTTCTCATGAAAACCCCATAATGCAACTGTTTGTTTAAACAGAACGTGTCAGACAAGATACATTTGACCCATTTTGCGGATGAAGATATAAATATAGTTAGATGCTATTTCTCAAGTCAATACTTGCATGTGGTATTTAAAATAATGTCACTCTGCTTTTATTCTGCCACAGTAAATCGGCAATTACACATTGTTTTAACTCTTCATTAACATTTTGGGTATACTCCGGCCCCCTGAATTTCATCCAATGCTTCCACACATTACATCAAAGCCTTGGTATGTAAAAAGACCTGGATTTCAATTCAAAACACACCTTACACTACTATATATCTGGAACTAAATACTAGACAGATATCTAGCGAATGTCATGTGGTACGACAGCTCTTTGCAGTCACCACTGTGAAGATGAGTGATGACTGAGGTTATAACTTCGTCGACCTCTTCAATGTCCATCTCACTTCATGAGGAATACACTGCACATGCTCCCGAATGCAGCGATCCCTAAAGGGGAACACCACTTTAAATTAAGAAGTCAATGTGGGATTTCCATTGCCTATAGGTTCAATAAATAAAGATTCATGACTTTTCCTGCAACTCTTTTAAAGCAAGAAACCAGAAAAGTCTTACATTTGATGTCATCACATATTAACAATGGAGCTGCTCCATAGATATCCGGATTTTGTGTTACTACAGAATTCTTCTGTTTTTGTACTCAAATCAGCTTTATTTTATCCAACTGTTTTATCCAACCGTTCTGAAACAACAATTCCCCTTAAATGCTCTGTGGAATATATTTCGCAACATATTTGTTTATGGAGCAATCCCAGAACTGAAATCCCAAATCTGAGTTGAATCACTCTAGATTTTGGATTCAGGAGAAAATTGGTCATGGTTACAATATGTTAATAATACATTGTATGAATTTTGAGAACAGGAAGAGTTCCCCATTTTACGTGGTTGTTTCATCTTAGCCTAAACATGTATTAAGAAACTGTATATCCAAGTTTGCAGGTGCAATCTTAAATGTACAGTACGTGTAATCAAACCCTCAAAAATAAAATATTGACAAAATCAATGCAAGTTATCATCAACATGTATTTTGCAAGTTTGAACTAATTATTAATGACACTTTATTTAAAGTGTGGCATTATCACAACAGACATCAACTCCAAAAAAGACAAAAACAGCCTAAGACCAGATTTCCAAAAAGGTTCTTTAATAAATAGCGGCAAAATGACTGACTTTAATAACATCAGCAGCTCTTTGAGACAAACATGTGGGACAATTAACCACCTGAAGAGCTAGAGTATCATTTTGTTTGCTGTTGAATACGATCACCATTTCTGAATACAACAAACAGGGCGCAGGTTAGAAAGAGGGTGACGAGATGACTTTAAGTCACTCCTCTAGAACTCTGTTTACAAATATAAGCCTTCATGTGAATCGCATAACAGTTTAGAAAGGTCCTTTTTGTGGAAAATGTCCAACCGGTTGATGCAATTGTGACAAACTGAAAGGGGAAAAATAAATCAGTGTGATATGTTTGGACAAACAATGTGTCATTTTGATCCCACCAATGATGCCAGAATGTGACTGACTCTTCTTTAAACTAAATGGCAGATAACAGAAAGCGTTGGCCCCCCACACACATCCGGAGTAAACATTCCACATTAGCAAACACGAGGACCTGGGAGTCCGCAGAGGGATCTAGACACACTCCTTGGCTATCAGCTCCTCCCTCCCCCACACAGGACACATTTACTCTCTCCGTGGCTACGGTGAGTGATGACTGCTCTCTGGTTTTACTTTATCTGAGTGACAATCACTGGAGGTCCTGTTGTGCTTTAGGATCGTACTGTCCATGCCTTGTTGTCTCTTCATTTCCCCAATGTTTCCATTTGTGGTTTTCTGTGGACTGCTATTGTAGGAACAGTATACTAAAAGCCATGACGACACAGCAGCAAGCCACCCACGGACTCTTCCGTTCACCTGGAGCAAAGAAATCATGTAAAGTTGAAAGCAGGATTGCTTAGCAACATTTCAGTAATACTATGATAAAAACACATTATGTATCGTAAAATAAGGGGTAATCATAGGCTTACCTATTCGGGCACACTTCCAGAAAATTCCTAGAAGCCTAAAAGAAACACATTGAAAAATGGTAAGCACAAACAAAGACTCAAATTATTTGACTGCTTTGTGAAAGTTAACCGTCTAATCACTATAATAAAAAAACGCTTTGATCTGGTGATACAAAAAGTGAAAAAGGGGCTGCAGTTTTAATATGTTGAGGTAGCTACAGTAACTTCAAGTCAGACTCCTGTCCCTGCTTTACAAGAGGACTGTGACCACTTTGGTACAAAAACCCAGACAGCTATCAGATGTCAGTGTCCATGTGAAGCCAGGGGTGTTCACATGGGGAATTGGGGGGGGGGGGGGGCGGGGGGGGGGGGGGGGGGGGGGGATCAGCAGGCAAATCGTATTATCTCCAGTGACAGCTGAGGGAAACTGGCATTCCAGGCCTTAACTTTTTTCTGAGGCGTTTGCTGGCCTTTGTGAGGGTGGGTGTCTGCAAATGTACATTTTTAAACTTTCAAACTGACCAGATGGGGTCAGCATTTTATTTGTATTTGATTTAGGATAGTCCTGGTTTTAAAATGTATTTGTAAATATATCATGTTAATATTTTTTCTGTACAACACATACATTCTTCCCCTCAGACTCTAGCCTATCCCTACCACACCAGAATAATTAGCAAAATGGGTCAACAAAAATAAAAGTTCATGCCTTAGTCAACAAATCTATCAAGAGGGACACTATTAAACCATCCATCTGCCAGTCTCAGTCTCATGTGTTCGTCTGAAGAGGGTGTCCCTCCCTGCTCCAATGGGTGTGTGTGTGTGTGTGTGTGTGTTTGTGCGAGAGAGAAGTGTGTGTGTGTGTGTGTGTGTGTGTGTGTGTGAGAGAATGTGTCTGGCTGTTCCTGGGCTGTGCCAGACTTATTAGAAGTGAATCATGGAGTTAGTACATCCAAGAATAATAATGATGATTCAGTGTGAAGAACATTTAGGCCTTCTGCCTCTTTATTCGCATCAATGAGGAGCGCCTTATTAGCTGAAAACATAAGCAAGTGTTCTTTAAAGGCAGTTCCATAGGGATGGAAAATTGCAGGGCTTAGGCTAAAGCTTTATCGCAGACCATTTCATGAGTTGTTGTTTTTTTTACCCCAGAGAGAAATATCCTTAATGTAAGTTGAAATACAGAAGTGACCACCTAGGAATCAACTATTGTAATGAAGACGTTTATGGGGACGGGACCTTGAAGGATGAAGCCTAATGCATAAGCTTTAAATGACAAATAATTTGTGTGTTGAATGATTGCCTTCGCCTTGCATTGTCAGTGATTTCATCCAATGCTTCCACACATTACATCAAAGCCTTGGTATGTATAAAGACCTGGATTTCAATTCAAAACGCACCTTACACTACTATATATCTGGAACTAAATACTAGACAGATATCTAGCGATGTCATGTTATGTTGTACGACAGCTCTTTGCCGATAGCTGTACTACTACACAATAGTATGCACTGAATGATATGACTGGTGACAGACAATTATTACTTTTTAACCCTGAAACTAAGACTTTAATGTAACAAAAAGGATTTGGTTATGCAGCTTGTTATAACATGGTCTCCTTCGAAGACATGAAGGCAGGTATTTGAGGGTTCAAATTACTGGAAAGACTTCAATGGCAGCTTCATTGTTAAGTATCGCAAACAGTATCTGATCATACCCGGTCTTGTTCTTGTCTATCAGGCTGGGAGCCAGTGCTCTGATGTAGGCACAGGTACAGATCAGGAGGAGAATCACTGTCAACAGTGACTGGAAGTTGAAAATGGCCGACTGCAAGATGACAGAGAATTACATATTTAGTACAGAAAGGATCTAATGCACCTTAACATCAATAAGTCATAAAATCCGAAACACTGACTTCACTTTCGTTAATATTCTGCAACACTGATGTAATGCTACTTGTTATAAGGAATGTTGTTGTACAAGCCGTTCCTCCTGTGTGACAAAGATGTGGGCTGGCTCTGCAGACACAAATGGACTCACTGCTGTCAAAAAGACTTAACGCCAAATTGAGGAAAAGGAAATAACATGTTTTTCTATATGGTGCCAGTGAAAAATATCCTACATATGCCAATTTTACGAGATCACTTACCTGCCTAAAAGGTATATTGGCATAATACAAATCTTTATCTCATATGGTGATCATTTGCAAAACACCGAGACTCAATTATGCTCTGTTTGAGTCATTAAAAAAAAAAATATATATATAACAAAGTGTAGGACCTCGTCAAACTCACAAGAAATCACAGTTAGTTGAAGATTTGTAATTATGATTTTGTGTATTAAAAGCGTATTTCCTAGCATTTAAACACCTGTGTCAAACAGGCCGTGTGTCTGCTGAGGCTTCTAAAATGGTAAGCAATTAAAAATGATGATAATATAAACTAATTCACCCACTACACTGATTGACTAAGTCATCCTTTCACTGTTTGATATCTACAATGGAGTACAGGACATCTCACAGACAAATCCAAGAATGCTCAATGAGTCATACATTTATTGAATTCAATTAACTATCTACTTGTGAAGGTACTCCTACCCTACTGAGGGGCTCTGCAATGATTTATGATGCAACCAGTCTTGTGACCTCTTTTTTTCACTCACATTAACATGTGCATTCATCCAAGAGTCTCTTTTTAGGTAGTATTCACATAAAATGCTCTCATTTAATCCAGAAATTACCATCTTAATAAACTACAATAACTTATTTTAATAATAATAATAATTATAAAATGGGTGATATATTTTTGTATTTTACAATAATTAAACATTATTGTGCATATACAAATTAAATCATCAACAAGTACATTCATGCATACCTTTTTCTCTATAGCACTAATTATCATCCCTCGAACAGGCTGTTTGTTATTGATTCATGTGTTGTATATGTAGAAAGTTGTTGATCATTTGCTAATACAAGTATGCTTTTCATTACGATTGCAATTAAATAAGTTATTTGGGGAATACTTAAGTTACCTGCAAACCGACAGACTTTTCCTTATAGCCAAACACAGATGCTCTATGAACTATGGTGCATCTACGTGGCACATTGCGCTGCTGCATTCATAACAATACTCAAGCATTTGTTCCTTTCTTATGAAACTCCTCTCATTGACACAGAAACGCATCTTAGATGGTGATGTTAAAATGTATTGTAACGATATTTAAGCACGGAAACATTCATCTTACAGCTTGACTGGCTAAACTTTTAGCCTATTTTAGCTAACCTATGCTAGCGAGATAGTTTAGCATTTACCATACGTCCGGCTTTGCACCACATTTTAGCCGTTAGTTGCTTTATGAGTGTTTCGTGACACTGATTAGACGTAGTGTGTGTGTTAAGGATTATGCTTAAAATATGCTGTACAAGAGCCAAGGCGAGTTATAAATAAAAACAAGCTTACCATGTTTGTCAAGTCAAAGCCACATCACACTTCCTGCTCTCTCGAAGATACGTAACGTAACTAACGTAACTTTATGTGACGTAATTACGCGCTCAACCCCGATTGCTGATTGGCTGAGAACACAGGCGTTGAAGCTTGAACATTCTGTAAAATAATTGCCAACAGGGAGAGAGCTGCAATGATTTCAGTTTCATGCAAAAATGCCTTCGTTTGGACATCGCAGTAGTAAGCACATATAATACCGTAAGTCTTTTGGGAAAATATGTAGGTTAAGTGTTTTACCAACACTACAATTGTTGTTAATTCAGTCTGATTTGAGTGAAAACCACTTACATTTGAGAAGCGGATACATAGCAGCACGCTCTAAAACTCGCCGTTCTGCAGTTCAAGGCGTACATTTTTATCTCTTACGTTACAACAAATATTACCTTTTTGTTCCATTCATGGATGTGTAAAGATACGTTATGGTGATTAAGGTAGTAGAAAGATATTAGGAACGTAGCAGAGACAGCATTTGTAGAACCCGGAAGTAGCTATAACGTTATGATTATTTTATAAGGCTGTGAATAATGACACTTCCAAAAAAACGAAGAAAAAGAAGGCTTCAACCCTAACCCCTAAAAAAATCCCTTTATCCAATAGAGAAATGTGACTCTTTTTTTTATAGGTCCACATAATATACAGTATCTTCCGCTCTTTTGGTGACGTATAAATCTGACATTTTTGTGGTGCACTTTTCCCTCAGAGTTTTCACAACATAGTCCCTTCCCTCTAACCAGCCACGGCAGCATCTTGATTCCATTGAAAACATGTTTCATAAATCCCCATCAACCCTTCATTCACAGACACTCCAAGGGAGATCCTCATGTAAGAAGAAATCTGTCAGATTGTTAACCACACATAAATAATGTTTTGCATTTTTTACTGCAATAGTGTGGACAAAACCTTGGTGTAAAAAGAGACAGTCTTCCGATGGATTGCAGGTTTGTAAAAGCAAAAGATAAGCAACGCTCACATTGCTCTTCATGTGATTAAGTATAGTTTACAGTGGATTTAACTATGTAAGCTACATCCCAGTTAATGTCACAATACGCCTTTCTCTAACTTTTGAATACAAAAAAGATCCATATTCACTACCGGTTTGATAATTCAGGGAATCTTTATAGATTTCTATTAAAAGTAACATATCAGAGTGTGTGTTGAATCACTGTCCGAGAGTCGAGAGAGAAGCTCTTCCTTATGCATTGATACTGCAGAAACTTTGGATCAGTTTCAAATATTCAGTATTGACACTAGTGGGTTGCTAATTCTGATAAAACTCATAAGAGCATACCTGATTATTGCAGTCAAATCAAGGCATGATGTATATTCTGTATGTGCAATCCTTTAATATTTGAATTGAAAAGAAGATTTGGAATAACATTCCTTATTCATTGCAGAGTTAAACCTTCTTTAATAAAGTATAGATGTTTTATTTTTAATTATGCTGAACTGCAGTTTAAATGGTCACATGGATTCTTGTCAGTTTTGACCCTAAGACAATATGACATTCAGAATTCAGAACAGATGGTAATAATTTGAATTACGCCACCAAAGTCCTGTCACAGGAGGTCGTATTATGCATTGGTCTCTTTACTTTTACACAACTGCAATCTTCACTAAGAGTTGCTTTTGTGACTGAGCAGAGGTTTACATTTGCAACTTATTCCTTTGTGAATATTTGAGATATGAAATGACCTGTTATGCGGATAGATAGCCAGACATTATATACAACATTATACAGAACAGCCGAGGACGAGAGGACAACCCTTTGCAGGCTAGTAATGTTTGTTTAAAAGGAATGCTTTTGTTTAAATTAGTAATATCTTCAAGGTTTTGAATGCAGAGTTAAAGTTAGTGTGATCACTGTTTGGCTTCTCACTCCTATCCTTTGTTGCAGGACATTTAAAATGTCTTTGCGAATAACTAGTGGTACAGTTTCTATTCTCAAATGTTTCAATAACTGAAGCATATTTGTTCCTTGTGTAGTTTCAGTGGAGTTTATATTATTGAAATGTATTAGACGAGTTAACGCACTTACCTGTATACTCTTAATTTTCTGTGAACGAGGGTGAGATTGCCTTGCATATAGCTTGTATTAAATTATTGTGCCATCATTAGCGCTATTGCTGCTCAGAAACAGAATACACATTTCCAAAGATGTTAAATATAGATCTGAAACAATCTTAAATGCTTTTTCTACTATATGGGTTCAATACATATTGTTGAATTCAATACAGGAATTATGAGCCAATGAGACAAAGAGCAGGACCCTGAACAACAAACACTATATCACAGTCCCCTCGGCGAGCAGCAAACATATAAGTAGTAACATGTCCATGGTCCAATTACAGTAGTTCTTTAAACATAGTGTTTGTGTAAAAGCATGCATTGGTCAAATTCTGGTCACACACCCTTAACCTTTAGGCCTTGATTTATTGTGGTGCGTATTATCTTTGCTTATATTGTTTATATTTGTCAAGTGGCTTAAATTAGCCAATACGTGATAATAACAATGAACAATACCGAATGACACAGTCCGTTGCTATTAAGTGCTGCACTGCTTGATTCCCTGAGTGATCATTAGAGTTCTTCTTTAAATCTTGCAGCCATTGTGTTGTAGAAAGCATGAAGGGAAAGTCCAGTGAAAGGACAATGAGAGGAGGACTGGCCTAATTGTCTAGGCCCATTAAACAGATAGTTAACTGCCTTGGCTTTTCTACTTTCTATGAACTCCTCATTCAAGTCACTATGCATAATTAGAGGCTTTCTTTGTGACTCATTTACCTAGTACTTCCTGCAGTTATGTCTTGCACTTTTCATATGCGGCAATGTGAAAGAAATGACAATGAAAAGGTTGAGGAAAGAAATTACAGAGGGAGTAAGTTAAGAGGACACAGGCTGTGTGTCAAAACTGTAGGGCAGCAATCGTTGATGATTTAAGCATTCCAGTGGTTTGGTCCGCCAACTGAGTTACTGAACAGTAAGACTTTGGGATTGACTTTGAAGGTTTGCGCGGCTCTCCATTCCTGACATACAGCACTGTTTATTTAATTGGAGTGTCCTTCTGTCATTACCACAGGGTCATCGTCCCTGCACAACAGATGTTACAGTAACTAATGAGTAGCTGGGCTCACTTTATGAGGTTAAAGTTGAACCCTTCAGCTCCCTCATCTTGTTCATCCCCTTTCGTCCAGCCACACCCCTTCTCAAAGCACAAAGGGTCAACTTTGCTGCAAGGTTTTTTGTGCATATGCACTGGTGTGTGTGTGCCAGGGCTCTGCTGAATGTCTCATTTGAAATAACCTTGACCACCTGCTCTGTCAGCATATAGCATGGGGGATGCAAAGAAAGACAAAACAACTTGCTGTCACGTCCTAACTTATAACACTGAGTCCGAAGGCGCTCATTTTCATTTTTGAAAACATGTCCAGCTTAGCTAACTACCAATTTAGCTGTCCTTTTCCCTGTATCCCCACACAGTATGCCCTGTAGTTAAGCAGGGGAGATGTTCAACTCACCTCTCACTTCACGTGGAAGCAGTAATCACATGTTCTAGCCTAGACATCCGTAATAAAGTAAAAGTTCTCAAGACCCCTGAGAAGAATAATAGTCAGTACATGTAAGGAACAATGTCATGGATCATATTGAAACCCTTAGATCAACATCGTTTGTAACTGATCTGTTGAACAAAGTCAGCTTCTGGGAGGATACTTAACTTTAACTGCAGCAGTGAATCAGTTTGCCAACGCATAAGGCTGAGGGCAATGTGACATTCAGCAAACAGGCTTGCTCAGCATGTAGAGGAGTTTAGTATTGGCAAATAATGATTTAGTTAAGAGTATGATGAAACATCACTGAATGCTAGGACACATGACTTGCAGGGCTGTGATTGTCCCTTGCTTGCTATTTTCAAACAGTATGGTTCTTCTGGAAATGTTGAATTTTCTCCCTAACTTTCCACCAACTGTCCACAAGGTCCAAATCAAGTTTAAGGTTATTATTATTAATCCCTGCAGCTAAATAATGGTTCAACTTTCTTCTACAGTGTATCATATAGTTTCATTTATGTTTACAAAGCAATGTGAGTTTTACATGCTTTACTGAGCATGCTCGAGGGATGTTTCCAGACTTAAATCTTGTTGTGCAAACTGATGTAGTTTGTGTGATTTAAGGGTATTCAGACTCAATATATGTACTTTAGATCGTTGGATAGCTCTTCACACTGACTAAATTCAAACAACAACTTGGCCTTTTTCGGTATTGTACTTCTATTTATCTTTAATAGCTTGTATTTAACTTGCTGTAGGTCAGGGAGCCCCCAACCCCGCACAAAAAACCTGCCAAAAACACTGTGTTGTTCCTGCACTGACTCAGAGAGAGCCCTATTAAAGACACACAGGGACATGTTTTTACCAAATCCAAGAAGTAAAACAATGAGGCTCATTGATGCAACTGGAGGATCAACACAAACTTGTAACATCAAATTGGCTTGGTAAGAGGTCCAAATCATGATCCAAACCCACGTCATAACCTGAACTCAATGCCACGGACCTGTTTCTGGAAAATGTATTCATTATGGTTAGAGTTTCTCATCTCCTATCTTTGATTTCTGCAGGTCATGAGTGGAATAGTCCAACAGATCTCTGTAGGTGCAGCCAGCCCCTACTTCCTGCGAGTGGACTGGGCCGTAGACCTGGGTGCTGGATTCACATTAGCTCTCACCGATGGACACTCGGCGTGGATTGGAGAGGGTAAAGACTTCAGATATGCAAACTCAAAAACAGATGAGGAACCTACAATTGTTGGCTTGTGTGTTCTACAAATACTTCAATCTTTTGACCATTGATTAGACTAGGTTGTCACCAGGTTAGCATCATCATCAGACAGTCCAAACTGTGGAGGCACCTGGCTGACCTCATCCCACAATATTGTAGCTGTTAGTCCTTAAACAGAGGGACAGCAGTGACCTTGTTCCATCATCCTTTCCAACCTCTGTGCTGCAGCTTACAGGTGTAGAAAGTAGATTAAACTCTACAAGGCTTGTCTTTGTATGTGCAAGTCAATTTTCTGTGTGTGTGTGTGTGTGTGTGTGTTGTAACATATGCACATTAGTACCTTTTCCCTGGAAGGACACCTGGAACTTAACTGCTCTCTAGTTTTCTACTGCTGTCCATCTGCAGAGTTGACAGGCAGAGATGGGGTTGTGACAGCTATGTGCGGGCTTCTGGGTCGTCAGTGTCTCTGTGTTTGATGTGTTAATTGGGACCCTGAGCCCCGTGTGAGCAGCTGTGCAACAGCTGATGACATTCCCCTCGGTTTCTCTGAACGCTTCCTTTTAAATCTGCTTTCACATGTATTCACGCATTGCCACATAATTAATGTTTATAGTTTTGCTCTGCAGTCTGCCATCACCTCTTTGCTTTTCTCTCAACTGAACACTTGAAAATGATGCAAAAATGAGAAAAATGCCTTTTATTTGTGTTCAGTTTCAGAAGATGAGGTGACAAAAGAAGCCAACGACTTGGGAGCCACAAGGGACAGATATGTTGAGGATCTTCTTCAAGCGCTAACAGGAGGCCCAGGAAGTAGAGGAGGAGGAGGAAGGAGAAAAGGCGACAAGGCTGTGTATTCATTCCACGTCACAACAGATCACTGTCATCTCTCATATCAGAAGATCTGTAATGACATCTCGGTGAGCAAAAGCTTTGGGTAGATTCATATTATACCCTGAGTGTTATAACATTTTCAAGGTTAACAATATGGTCTAGTGGACAAAACCTTTATATTTTTAGGTTTTAAAGGTCATATAAGAGACAAGGATCAGCTGCTTGAAGGCTGCTTTCAGATAGACAACAGCACTGCTTAAAGTGCATGGCTAATTTTTTATATTTATATTGGGCTGCTGCTTGAGCACAGCAGTATCGTCAATGCAGAGGGGAATGGTAAAAACAAAGTAGGGTTGATTTTAAAAGAAAAAAGGAAAAAAAGGGTGTACCTGACTTCACTTTGGCTGCAACGCAATTAAACGTTATCTGGCATGTTGTCGCCTATGCGCAGTTCTGAACAATTGCTTTGTAACGTGAATGACATTATTCTTTTAAAAACGTTCAAACATATTAATTTATATTTTATTATCTGCAGTTTGATGACACTGACTGAAATTGTTTCACTGTTTTGTTTCATTGTTCAGTGATAGATAACACATGTCGTACCGAAAAACGTATAGCATACTCATTAACTAAAGGTGGTTAGTTTAAGGAATCTATACCTACAGCTTAGCTCCAATGCATTTTAATTATGTCAATCTATCAGTACTTCACCCTTAAATTCCACATCATGCACTCCCCTGTGTCACTGTCCCCTCAGGTTAAACGCATCTCACGACAACTAAATAGAAAGGAAGTCTTTTTTTTTTTTTACAGGGGGCTGTTAAAAGGATGAGGTTTATATTGTCCCCACATTAAAGCAGAATTAGAATGGCTTGGTTGCCTTCAGGCCACTTTGGAAAAAGCCAGAGATAGGAATCATTCAGTCGTCCAATAGCAACAATATAAGGCAGTTGTCTAACGGCCACAGCTCGTAAACATTTAGGGAAAAAGGTTTGCTGATTGAAGGTTTGTTAAATTCTAAGGTGGAGCTAGCTTGAGTTAATGTAAACAATTGGTTCCCCACATAAAAGCGCATCTTTTCTTGAATTGATGTTGTCTCTGACAGAAACATACATACATGTGCTAAGGGGATTCTTGCATAGTTCAGAGTAAGTGACAGGTTTGAAGGAGTACAGGTGATAGCGCTTCCAATTGATTTGGTGTTACTTTTCGTAGAGGATGCTATTGCCTCCGGGAGGCAGGTCACCAGGGGTCCTGGGACTGATGTGAAGGCAACAGAGACCAGAGGGAGAAGGCCAGGGGGTTAGGAAAACTAGAGACCATAAAACTCTGATTTATGAACAGGACCATCCCATCTAACAGTCTTAGACAACAGTTGATTAGAGTCGTATTCTTTTCTTTCCCCAACTCCCCCTGGCTTTCTTTGTGTCAGTGAGTGTTGGGTATACACGTGTGCCTATGTGTGCATGTTTCCGTGTCTGGACATGTGCAGAGTGCAGACATACTGTGTCTCTTAGGCGAGACAACCAGGCTATTAACCTTTGACATTCTTGACAAAACAATTATTTTTTATGGGACATTTGAAAGATCATCTTGATAATGAAATGATAAATGGATCAAGAAACAAAAGAACTAACATTTTAAGCAATACATATTTTGTTGTGTTTTTATGCCTTCTCTTTCACACTGAGAAACACACACAGGGCTTTCTTAATGGAATACTAGATAATCAATTTTGACTTTAGTTTGCAATGGAGTTTTAATGCTTTGATTTTTGTAACCCTTTTTGCATCACTTTATTAAATCACTTTTAGTTCTGATTACATCACCAACCACAAGAGGGACTCACAAATATACAGCAGCCATCATTTGACTATTGTATTCCAAATTAAACAATTTCAAAGGTCTTATCATGACATAAATAATCTCTCTCATTTGTGCAGGGGGAAGCCAAAAGGAGCAACTAGACCACACAAAATATAATTGACAGTTGTCCAACATTTGTCCAGCTCCCAGTCTGCTTTTCAAATATGTATTTAGTGCTCATAATGTTGCCAAGAGTACTCATCACTTTGTGCGGTGTGTGTGTGTGTGTGTGTGTTAGACACAAATCTAAGAAAACAGCGGGACTATTTGCATTGAGTGCTAACTAACACTTTTGCTTAACACCTGCTTATTTTTTTTCCTGCTCTCCTTCTTTCTCCTTTTTTCAACATGTTAGAGGTTCAAAAGTGGAACATATTTTCCCAGCCAGGTAATTTGAGGTTGCAGAAATTACCAAAAGTTTCCTTCGGGATTAGAAGAAATAGGCTGGAGACAAAACAGGTGGCAAACTTAACCTGACATTAATATTTTATGAATATGACCCCAGAGGTTGTAATGATGAATGTCATTTGGGTGTTCCTTGTTAAATTGCTACTAAGCAGGTGTTTTACATTGCCAAGTCAGGCATTATCTCCTCCTTAATGTCTGTTTAAGTACCAATCTGTCATTGATGGAGAACTAAATATTTTTGTTCTGACACTTGCTTAAACAGACACCTAAACTTCTAAGGACTTTGAAACATGTTATTAGAGTTAAAGGATCGTCTCTGTCTGTAGAGAGTTTTAGAGATTTTCCCTTACACAAGTTGATTACACAATAGGAGCACAGTATGTACGTTTAAGGCCTGGCATGCTTTATTTGACATTATCAGTTAATACCTGTGTTGCCTCTCTTTTAGTTTTAAAGAACAAACAGAAAAATGCTATCAAGCGCTTTGACAATAAGCATGATGGTCACACACATGTTGGAACAGGGATCCAGAGGCTTCCTATCATTTTATGAATATTGTCACTCTGTCTTTGAGAATACTGAGCTGCACATTTCTCACTTCAGACTGACTTTCGATCCAGGGAGACGGAGGCTTTAATGCTTTACGGGCCGTCTCCACAGCAGCGTTAAAAAATCTTGAAACGCTTCTGCCCATTCACTTTGAATGGGGTGACGTCACTTTGCCTCACTTTTCGCCGAAATGCATTGTGGGCAGGCGAGCGGAGATTCTCAGGATTTTCAAGATTCAAAGTTGAACAATGTTCAACTTTTGAAGCTGAGGTGGAAGCGGCAGCCAATCAAATCCCGTGTACGCAAATCTGGCAGTTCAAGCTCTAGCCAATCAAACGGCGTGTATGCTGGGAGAGACATACCGCAGGTCATTTCCTCATATTCCAAAAAATGGAGGAGAAATTAGCGGTAGCGAATCAATCACCCGGTGCTTTATGACCAGACCTACCGGGATATAAACCGGAGGAGCCAGGCATGGAGGGAGGTGGCAGAGACAGTGGTATGTTTTCGCCTGTTTTGGGGAGTTTATATCCAGTTTACTTCGGGCTTTTTGGCTTCGTATGTCGCGGGCGGGAGATTCATGTGATTGGTTGATCGCAAAAAAATCCCCAAGCCTCAGACACGCCCACCTCCAAGATTTTTTTAACGCTGCTGTGGAGACGGTCCGTTACAGTTGTGGCAATTAAAGCCACAGGATTCTGGATGAGTCTGGGTGAAAGCATGTGACATTGATTGTCAATGTTTTATGTTTGTCAAAAAGCACTTGTGTTATTGTTCACTGGGGATTCCAGCTGTGCAGCATTACGCCACAAGTCAATGTTTTTATATTGTGATTGAATTATCCCAAATGATGAAGTGTGAAGTTTACAATACGTGCTTGTTTTGAATGTGTTTGTTCCTTCACAGCATTTGAGTGTTGTAAACACTAATATTTCTAAATGTGTGGGCCAAAAGCTAAAACCTTACATATACAATTATGATAATACTTTTAGCAACTTTCATGTGGCTCGTTTTTCTCTTCCCTTTCTTCATGAAAGTATTATTTTTAATTGTTGAAGTTCACCTCTTTTTTTCTTACATTGAGCAGCTTTTCTACAATGCTTGGTGGCAGATGTTTCTTTCTCGCTAATTGTGTGTCCTACACCAAACACCATCCAGTGCCATGTGTATATATAATAACATACCTCTGTGGATTTAAAAAGAAAATAGCTATATTACTGGCACCTAACTACATACATTGGAGACCATCATGGTTACCTTTATATTTTACAAAACAGGTATTTCCTCTTCCAGTGTGGTGGTCAGCCTCTGATCCTCTGTAAATTGAGACACAACTCATTGCGGTATTGAAACAGTTGTGATACAGGCATATATCATATTAAATATCAATCTAAATGTACCAGAGCCTAAGGTTATGTTTTCAAATACAAACGTTAAATTGTTTATCGAAATAACTTTTTGAGGGAGGTCCTTTTAGTCAGCTAGTAAATCTATAATTAATATGAAACCATTATAACATAGGACCTTCCCTTTGTGATTGTTTAATGCATCATCTGTATGCTTTAGTAAAAAAGCACTATCTGCCTGCAGCTGTTTTCATAAGCCCAAATAACATTGCCCAATTAACCCATTATGGGTGTTGCAAATCCCATGTAGCGGCCAAATCGATTTTTATTGTGGTTTCAGACATATTATCTATGGTTACATGTTTGGGTTTACAGTTTTTTTCTTCTTTACCATTATAACATAGGACCTTCCCTTTGTGATTTTTTAATGCATCATCTGTATGCATTTATTTCTTCTTAGATCAGTTAATTAGCTGGTTGAGAGATGCATATAGGCCTTGTTTTAAATGTCATTGAGCCAAGTATTCTAGGCAGATACCTGAGTGATCTTTGACAATTTTCTGCCACTATCTGCTCTGGTACTGTGCCATCGCTTGCCCTGTGTTTACGGGAACATGCAAGTTATCTGGGACCGTCTGAGTGCTGTCGCCCCTCACCTCCTGCTCTTTATCTGCCTCACGCCTCTGCTCGGTGGGCGACGGAGCTGATGGGACAAGTTGATCTCCGCTCTATGCCCACACTTTCCATTCTGAGCACCCTTGCCCATCCTTGAACACTGTGTCTTTGTCATCACGCTCACACTGCCCACTCATTTCCCTAGACAAAATAATTTTGCCATCAAATGAAATGAGCTAACAGTAAAAACAATATTATTTTAATCAGCTTCCTTTTTGTCAGCTACTGTTTGAAACCTTAATCTATAAATTCCAATGATGGCAACTGACTTTTATATTATTGATTACGGCATATTGATTAACGGGGTCTTTGTCCTCTGACCTATCGTAGATTTGGTCTCCATTGATGTGTTGGACAGTGTAAAAGGAACGCTTTGTGTCCTCTGTGCTCACATTGTGGTGTGGTATCTTTTTCACTTGGCCGTAGTTCTTTTGGCTTTGTCCTCCACACCTACGTCTCCCCTCTCCACGGGTTTGACCTTATGATCTGGCTAGCTGTCTGGTGATGCACACAAAAACAGACTGTTAGACCACGCCCACATTGGACCTGGCTGTAATGTAGGACAAACTAAACCTAAATCATCAACATGTTTTGCGAAGTATAAAATGTAGACTCTTTTGTTACATTTTCATCCAAAAAAGTACATTACAGTTTTACAAAGACATGATATCCATCTCAGATATATTAAGAAAGCATTGATCTTTGTATGTAAAAAAATCAGCCCGTCCTGTCAAATAAGGGTCATATGTTTAATCTTGATAGAGGCTGAAAAAACAGCAATGAACAGTTTTGTAGTTTTTTAAGTAACGGTAGAAAAATGTGGCAGTGGGTCGTGGATCAGAGACAAACAGTCTGACCTCCCACACCTTTCTGGCAACAGTGAGCAGACTGACCTTTATCTTGATCTCTGTTTCTCAGGAGAGAGGCAACGGCTCAAGAAAACAAAGCTATTTAGCCCTTTCCTGTCTTATAACAAATATATTTAATTAATGAAAAAACAACATTTATTACTATTTGACACTGGTATGTAAAGTTCAGAATGCTGCTTGCCTACTTTTCCAGATTTATATTTTTGTTTAGTTCTTGCTTCCTCTTTGCATGCTGCACAGTAAGACAAAGGTACACTTTTGGTAATCTGGAATTCACATGTTTACTGCAGGAAGTCTTCTAAGAAACCCTGGAAGTAAAGACATTTAAACACACAACCTTTGGTATATCAAAGAAGGAGCAGAAGAAATAAACAGCAGCTGCAGTTTCATCAATGTTAATCCAGTAAATAAAGGTTGTGTCTCCAGCAGTTAACATCTCTGTATCTGGTGTCTTAAACTGGTAATACCATGTTAACACGCCGGTTAGGAAGATTTATGGTCTTGAACTGAGTCAGTGGGTAAAACTTTGATGACAAAGTTTAACATATGACATGTTAATGTAGTGAGACATGTACAGTAAATGTAGGACATTACACGTTTCTTTAAAGTGTGGAAATATTAGTGTATTCAGCATGTCAGAGTCCAAAGCCTTAACATTATACGTTCTCATGTGGCTGATTTATTGCCAAATTACTTTCCTCTGGCAGCAAAGTGAAGATTGAGGCACAGGTAGTAAAAGGGGGGAGGGATTTTGAAATAAGATCAAAGCTTTCACAGCTATCACAGCCTCCTATGTGTGCATATAATAATTTGTAGCCTACAGTAGTGTGCAAGTTAGTATATCTTTGAAGCTGACGTGATGACATTGAAAAACTATTCAAACTAATAATTATGAGGCGCTCATGAGGCATTCTTACTGGGCCTCTTCCTACACCAATCTAGCTGTCTCCTAATAATAGTGGACCATCTTGCACAAACACTGAATCACTATGCCAAATTGCAGATGACTTAAGAGGCTCAGTGTCACATGGATGTCCTACAAATCCCTGCGAGGAGCCTGCACCGTATCACTGTGACATCTTGATGTTCTTCTAGATCTTTTATGAGTTCTCGTGAAGCTCATCCTCTTTATTTCCTGGGTGGTCTCCTCTATGTCCCGATCCTATTAGGTTGACTTAAATCACTGATTTTATTTTATTTGATCAGCCCGGGTGCAGTAGCACTGAAAAAGCTCCATCACTATTCCAAAGTAGTTTTTTACAGAATTATTTCTTCATCTTTATTGATGTTATCCTGGAATGATAGGCCACTGAAAGGAATCATTACCTTTAAGGCTGTCAGTAGTCAGAGTTTTAGACCATTACTCATTTTTTGATGAGTGATCCCTGGTCCGCTCTCTCATCTCGTGCTCAAAAAACATGTGAGGACGCACATGAGCCCCTGTGCTCACTGTGTGCATTTTTCTTAATGCAGAGAGCAGTAAGGTATTGAAGGTTAATGGCATCCAAGCCCCTAAACACAAGAAGAAGACCACATGTACAAAAGACAAGTCTACAGACACACTAATGGCTCTGTTTGTAGGGACAGTGGTGCTTTAAACTAAATGCTAGCTTTAGCATGCTAACATTTTAACAGTGACAAAGCTAAAAGCTGACTTTTTAGCATGTTTGCTAAATTAGTTTATGGTGTTATCATGATTACTTTTGCAAAACACAAAATATATCTGAAGCTGATTCGTCTTGCTAATTTGATCTTGGTTTCATTCAATATACTGTAAGCAGGGTATTTCAAGCATTAAACAATGGAGACACGTTTGTATTGTTAGGGACACAACATTTGTTTGACATTGACATGGAGACACTACCAAAGACAAAGGTAGGAAAGCTGTTGCAGGGATGTGAAGCAAAGGTCCACTTAACATGTTCAGGTTCAACAGTGGAGGGGAAAACAGCTGTGTGGCCTGCCAGGACAGAACTGGCCCGGGACAAAAATGACAAGTATTTTATGAGAGCTTTTGAAGATGGCGGCTTTATTACAGTGGGTCGGCGACCCCGACATAGCCCGGAGAAGATTTAGCACCACGTCACCTTCTGGTTTCCCAGTGCATTATGAACAATACCTGTGTGCTCGTGTACTCATGAGTTCTTGTTATTGTGTGTGTGCGCATTCAAAGGAGAATCTCCAAGACGACAATCAAGCAAAGCTATTTGAACATTGGTGTGGGTGTGGCAGCTTTGATGTGCACACTTCAAGTTGACCGCTGTTTCTGAGCTTCAGTGTTTTTTCTATTGAATCATAGCTGTTTTCTGTAGATTAAATCCTATTTTGCCTGTTAAAAATCTGAGTGCCACAGTGGAATTTAGAACATTTGACGCATTAACTAAATATTTGGAATCTTCCGCAATTTTCGGTCGCTCGCTGCAATGCCTGAGCCCTGCTTTGGTACTTAATGCCAACATGTAAACCGAATGAGGAATGTTTTATGACATCTGAAGCCTGTCTGTGATTCCAAAGATTCACAGACAAGATGCAACAGAGAGGAAACTGTGAACGATCTTGCATGGTTTACTGGTGACTAATGAATGCATCCTGTATTTCAACAAGACCGAAGAAATACCTCGACTTTAAAAGAATCCCCCACTCACATCTTCTTGGAATGACGTTAAGGTGTAAATGCTTACTCGTTTTTAACTGTTAGCAGAAGAAGCTGGTTTGGTTGTGATATTATTGCATTAATACATTATTATATGAATTAAGTACTTTTTCAAGATTGGAGTGCTAGATGTGGTTTCACCCCCCGTTTTTCATAGAGGAGCCCCTGGTACTAAAGGGGAAACTTGGACATGTAGTCTTAAAACGGTCCTGTTGTCTCCTCCCAGTCTGTCATACTCAAAGGGAGGCTTGCAGAGGTTATGCCTATTGTGCCATTAACTATCTTAACTGTAACCTGTCAATGCAGAGGAAGGACAGTCGATTACTGAGGTCCTCCCACATTGCTGAGCTCCCCAACTGTTAATCATACAATTTGCACTCTTTTATGATTTGTGCTCTCTCATATTGCTTTGTTCTTATTCTTCTCTTTCATTTATTTCTTTAGGTTCATTTGGGTTCAGTAGAGCTCCAGCCAGTGCCAGACCCTCTGGAGCTGAAGCGGGAGATGATTGGTCAGTCTCTAAAGTACAGTACAGATCTGGAGTCCAAGAACTGCCAGCTGTTGGAGGAGAACCGTCGACTGAAACAGGAGCACCAGAGAATACTCAGAGAGTAAGGATGAGGAGGAAACCAATGCTGTGTTTTTAGCTAATGGGTTTTAAATATTAAAGAATGTGTGATGGACAGCAAATATTAAGTTCAAATGGAAAGTACCCCGACAGCATGTAATTATTTTCTTAAGATGCGCTGGTATTTGTTTGTTGGTTGTCTTGTTCGCATGCAAACTCTCTTTGCTTTTTAAGTCGGCCTGTCAGCTGTTTGTAAGCACAGCAATCAACCAGAATGACATCACTGGTCGCCCATTTGAGAGAATTAAGGGTTCCACCCTGTGATGCAAACCGGGCTTGTAATTTCTGGGAACTAACCTCAAATGATTTACTTGTGCGTATTTCAGTTCAAATATGACTTCTTTTCTTTTTTTTGTGTAATTGTTAGTCTGTTTTTTTGGTTAATTAGCCAATGAATGAAGCATTGTCAGAGATGGAGGATAAGCATTACTTATGTCTCCAAAGGGTGGAGGCATCAGCATCACTGCCCTTAACAAATGACTCACAGAAAACACAAACAAAAAAACCATTTCAAAACATGCATCTGTCCTTCTGTTTTTGCGTGTGCACATGTGTTTCCATGTGCAAGTGGGAGTCCAAACACTTGGATATATGTTTTTGCATATCCACTTATGTATTGTTCTCACCAGGCTGGGGCAGCAAGTGGAGGATAAGGAGATGTTGGAGGGGAAGATGTACTCACGTTTTGTCATGGTGCTGAATGAGAAGAAGGCCAAGATCAGAGGCCTGCAGGAAGCTCTCCGCCATCTCCAGCCCACTGAAGACCAGCAGGCAGATGGAGAGGGTACACAGAGGTCAGCAGACTGGTTTCACATGGCGTTTTAATTATTCTGTCATGCTCTGGTTTAACTGGCTAGCTTTTCTACTTAAAATGCAGGTGAACCAGTGAAATCAGTTTTATTTAATGTGTTTCTCACATATTTTGTCAATGCAATTTATGTTTCTTTCAATCACTATCAATGTGCTTGTTGATTTTCTGTTAATCTGATTTTCAGATCCACTGAGGTTTTTTATAGCTACACTGTACTTGTTAAATATGTAAAAGAAACATTTAATAGTGTACAATCAATTTAGCTTATTTACTGTTGCATTTTGTAGGGTAAATCAACATTCAGGTCATTGCTTTAGCTGCACATGTTATTTCCAGCACAGGGCTGTCGGCTCTGTGTTTGGGTTTGCCATATCTTTAGCTTTTGCAGAACACAGTTGCTAAATTGTTACTTTACATGCCTGTGTTAATATATAGACTATCGTTGCAGTGCACAGTGTATGGATGAAAGGTTTTACTCACAATAGCTGCTTAGCTGTCTGGCTTTGCCACTGTCACTTGTGGTCAATACTATAACATATTGAGAGGTGATTACCCCAGAGGCCGTGTCTTCTAGAGAATATTCAAAACTCAACTCAATTTTTCTTCTTAGTTTTTTTCTTCTTTCTCACTCAGATTTTTCTATATGAAAAAGTTTCTGTTCTCAAATTATTTTATTTCTTTCAGTGACAACGAAAGTAAGGACAGAAAGGAGGAGACGGTTCATGGTCCATCTCAGGAGCAAACTCTTCTCATCACAGGTGTGTGTGATGTGTTAAGAGTACTGCTTTTTATTCATTTTTTGTGAATAATTGGCTAATACAAATGATTAGTTTATAATCAATGACAGAACAATCTGTATAGAACAGTCTATTGTTTTCATGTTTTCCTGCGTCAGAATATGTTGCAACAGCATAATCAGTGAACATAACCAGACTGAAACATCTCCTTGCCCTCCTATTACTCAGAATAAAGCAACTAGAGTGTTCCTCTAGGGATAGGGCAGAGCCTAACCAATGCAATTCATAACATGATGAGAATTGACATTACGTTTTATCTGTGGGTGTTAACGCACACAAATGTGTGTGAGCTCTACTGTATCACACTGTAGGCTGAAGCATCATTTGGGATCAGGTGGCAATGTTGTTCATACTTAAATCACTGCTTATTTTTCTCATAGTGAAAAATGCAGAGTAGAGGAAAATAAAATAACTTAAAAAATAAGGAAAAGATTGTTAGTAAAAATACATATATAAATAATTATGATATAATAATCATACACATACTAACATACATTTATCAATAGCTGTCTCAATTTGGGACTCTCATAGGTCACCTTTATAAAAATGTACTGTCACAGTGACCATCACTGCATTGTGCTCCAATGTCCCCGTTACTTATGCATGCGCCATGTTTGGTGGGGCAGGGTGTAAGAATTGAACACGGCAACGCTTCGCCCATTCCTGTTACTCCTTGTTATGTCATAGGACAAAATGTGAGTCAGTATTGATGCAGACTTAAAAAGAGTTTAAGCTTTCCTTGAACTGATTTTTTATTGTCTAATAAACTTGACAGTTGAATGTAATTTGATCATGTAAGCAGGGGGTTTTAACGTAAACTTAAAAGCACAGCGAGCAGAGAGCATACCCTCGGGAAGCCAGGTTCTGGGAAACTCTTTTCTTTGAGTCATAAACCCACCCAGTCGGCCGTTATTGCTTCAACACAGCCGGCCAGGAGGTAGTCTTTCCTCTTCCTCTGCATCATGCAGAGCAGGCGTGATGTCACAATATCTGAGTCATACCCCCTGTACTACGAGTTGCAATCTGCTGGGGTAACCTACTGATCGCTCGCTGAATGGCTGCGTTTGTGTTCAGAGCCAAACTCAAGTTCCCCCAAGATACTAATACAGTTGCGAAACATATTGATGATGCAGTGACTTTAGCAGGTCCTGTAGTTTGGCTCTCATTTTCTTCACTTTCACTCACTAACACAAACATGCACACACACATGCACACACACTCCCCCTTCAGTGCAGAGGGATGACGGTTGTAAATTGCGCAGTATGGGTCTTGGCTTACACACTTTGTTGTTTGAAGTGTTTTACAATGCTTTCTTGTGTTCTCAGCTCGTCCGTCACCTGGCACTTATATCTTTTCCTCATGCATTGTGAATTTGCCCTTATATTCTCTCCATCTTCTGCACTTTTTAACATTATGGGTGTGTTTCCAAAATGATTTTAGTATTTACTCTAATTCAGCTGTCTGGCAAATCTGTCTCTAGGCGTTTCTCTTTTGGCCATCACTTGACCATCGTAGAAACACGCCACAACTTAATGTCAAATTTGTTACAATATGCTGATACATGCCTAATGCATGATTAATTCTTCTTGCTTATATTGTGCAGCTTTACTCTGGTTACCCTAGCAATCAAATCAATTCACGCCCACCTTCCCGATAATCTGAGGACAAGAGCCAGGACAAAGTTTTGTATTTACAAATTCAGTAAACACATACAGTAACTACATAAGGTAAACTTTAGTACATTTGAGACCTCACTGACATTTGTTTAGTTTCAGGCCCCACTCATTTGGCTGTCTTCAGGTAAACCCACATCAGAAACCGCTTGCATAACAGCAGTTTTATTTGCATTAAAAACACAAACTTTCCCGACCTAGTTGGCTACACTTTGACATGCACGGCCCCAGTTAACCTTCGTGCCTCGGGGTGTGTTTTCATATTGCAGAGGCCTCTTAAGAGAGTAATGACAGGGCAGATTTGGAGACAAAAAAAGAAACTCTCTCTTTGACCTGTTCCCTCCAGCATCTGATAGTGACAGCAGAGGAAGCATATCACTCACAATGAGGTGACAGAAGATGAAAGAATAGGAGCTTGACACAGTGGAAGAGAGAGTGTCTGAGAGGAAAGAGAGAATTGGAAAACAATCATCAGATGTTCTGTAATGTCCGACTTCGTTAATTTAACCCCAAATATCAACAGTAGCAATCATTTCAGCATCAGCATTCGGCCTTCAATCTCTCAATCTGACAGCAAATCAATTCTCTTAAGTATTTCTTTGTATCTAACACAACTGCTTAATCTGTCAATCTTTGAGTCTGCATGTGCTAGCAGAAGCGTTAAAGGGCAAACAGGTGTGTTTTTGAGTCTGTCTGGATGTAAACCATTTTATGACGGGCCTCGTTGGAATGTCAGATCTCTGTTCCAGATAAAGGTCCCATTACTTAAAGTGTGGAGTTGTCCAGGGTTAACAGAGGTTATCTGAAGCCCAGAGACTCCCTCAAATGTTACACAAATGACACAAATGAAGAATTGGGTTTAAGCAATGAAACTGGAGAATTTGGACTATGAGAATGACACCCAACATCCCCCCAAAAAATGTTGATCGAGACATCTGAGTGCAGGAATTCAGACTCATTGGAGGAACTTGCAGTCCATCAGAGGTCATTGTGAATAGAATCTAGTACCTTTTGATTAACAGTAAACATGCTTTTTGGTATCAACTGATTGATAATTTGCTTAGATAATAACATACTAGAAATGATTCAACTTTATTTTCCAGACAAGGCAGGACCGTTATCTTTGGTGTCACACATTAAAACATGATTCAGTAAGTGTTTTCTAAACAGTTTGTGTGTGCCTCTGTGTGCTGTATTGTATGCAGGTTGTAATCTGGTGAGCCAGGGCATGTCTGTCGACCAGACTTTTTCTGATGAAGAGGATGAACAACCGCGGCGAAAGCGAAGGTTACATCACACCCAGAGCCCAGAGCGTTCTGAGCAGGAATAAAGGCAGGTTAGTCAGATCACCAAAACAAATAATGTCTTATAGTTGTTTTTTGATTCAGCTTTCCATCAATCATTTTATTTTAGTGCATAGCTGTTTTGTGGAGCCTCTCTCCAAACACAGTAGCAGTACAATGACATGGCTTTTCATTGGAGGTGGGAGAACAAGATTATATTTTTCAGATTTTAAAGTAGCTCAAATACAAAAAATGTATCAACAAGACACAATAACATATAATTTTATAATATCTCCAGGCTACTTTCAACCACAATACAAGGAATTTATTTACATCTTGTACCCTGTTAAACATTTCACAAATGTTAAAATTGCCACCTCTTCTTAATAACTAGACCACACCAAATATAACATATTTGTAATATTCTATCTCTGGCATGTAACTCAGATGTTCACTACAGTACATATCGTGAGAACAATTACGGATACATTTCTATGGGTGGGAACATTTTAAGAATTCAACTTTAGAAAGATTGACTCACTGGTGGGCCTGGCCGGGTTTGAGATATTTATCAGCTTCTGTTAATGTTTGGGTTTACGGAGGTTTCTCCTGAACATCCGGCTCATGCATACAATGTTGTGCGGTCTCTCTCTACATTCACCAGCTGAATGTTTTCTAATACTGACGCACTGCAATAAAATGACCAGAGGTTTTTGGACTGCTGCTTCTCTGACTAGACACAGGCTAAGAGCTTAGTCCAAACTATGACAGCAGTAGCTATTGAATGTTACTTAAAACCTGAACTTATTTTCTTATTTGGACCCTTACATTTGCATTCTATCATATTTCATCTGTTATAAATATCCTTTTTCATTTTATTCAGCCTTGTATCAAGATATTGAACTGCATTTCCAAAGTACACAAATGAAATATTACATTTGAAATGGAATGTTTGTTTATTAAGTGAAAATAATGAACCACATATTTTTCTTTCCTTTTCCTTCCCTTCTTTCTTCCCTTCTGTCTTCTCCATCCTCCTCAATAAATAGATACCATTTAGGAACGAAAAGCCTAAATCTAAGCTTTTTCTGATAAACAAGTTTTCTTAAAGCCTCTCCAGCTATGTGGCAATATACTTATGGCTAGTCAACCCTCACCTCGATACACACAACCATAACAGTGACAACCAGGCAACAGAGTCCTGGAGGTGTCCCCAGATTTCGACCCAGATTTCGAGCCAGAGCATGTCACCGTCATCTGGTTTGCTTTAACTGTGACAATTACCTGCTACAGCTCTCATGAGAGCCTAACTGCTTGTCTCTTGTCTTCAATAAATCAAAAGACGAACAACTAATGACGCTATCATTTTCCAGACACTTCAGACTGTGTGCTCCATTGTGAGCTGCCGTCAATACTTTGCCCAGATACTTTAATAATCATGAGATAACAGCCACTTAACGTCCTCCAGTGCTTCCTCAGGAACTGCTGCTGTTGCTAATGACTTGGAGAACAAGGTAGAGAATCTGGACCAAGAGTATGGAAGTAATTTCTCAAGAGCTTGACTTCGCCCTGAGCTTGAATTTGGCTGCCAAACCCCTCAACCTTGTCTCTGTGAGACTGAACAAGAGTAACAACTACTGAGGGACAACAGGCTACACCCAGAAAACAGGGTGTCACCAACATCGAAACGAAGCTGCCTTGTTGCTGCTTTTTCATCATGTTTGCTGATGTTTTCCCTGCTCTTTTCATTATGAAAATAAACCATGCGCCATCTCTTTCATTTCCTCTTTATAAACTAGCGTTTTGCGTACAATCATTTTACCTCCTTTTCATCTGCCCTTTTATTCTGTAGATGTTTTGTGGCCCAAACTCACTGTGTGGTGTTTTGCAGAGGGTTAATGAGCGTATGTTGTCTCTCTGTATTCTCATCCTCAACCTCTTCTTTTACCTTTACTACCAGCTTTAGGTCCTAAGGTCATCACAGTGTGTCTTCACACTGACAGTAATGAACCTCTGGAGATTTACTCGGGTCTTCATCTGACCATTCTACCTTTGACTTCTCGACCTTCCTGCTGTCTTTATGATTTTGATGTTACCTAAACGTCAGCTGAAGACCACGGGTGGCCGCCTGGATAATCTCACAACACGCGCTTGAAGGTTTAGTAATCCCCACAGGAATGTCACACTGTCTCCTCTATACATCCCATCAATAAGGCATTTTGTGAACCGAGGCCCAGATCAGTTTCTGAGGATGATTTACAGATTAATGCATGAAGGTTTGATCGAGGATAAGACAAAGATTATGAAACTCTGTTAATATTTCACTCTCTGGTTTTATTTAATGATTAGAGCATGCTTACCTGACTACAGAATAGTTATTTTTTTAAATAACCTAATGATATGTTTTCCTTGTGTAAAATACATTTAAATGTTTCTCAGCTGATTCAATCATTTGTATTTATTTCATGTTCTAGAAATGTATATAAATAAGAAATATTTCAATTGGGAAAAAAATGAAAAGTTGTAAATGTTTTGCAATATGTTTTACGTGGCAAGGCATGTTAATTTGAACTCGACTTCAATAAACATTCAAACATATTTTTGCCTTTTCTGTCTTTTTGAAATGTTAGGTCACTGCCTAACAGACAAAAAACATGAATAATCTTTTGTAATAAAGCCGTAAATAACAGCATGGCTTTTACATTAGGTCAGTATGGATCAACGGGGCTATACAGCACGCAGCTGAAAGGGTCAACGCTGTTTGTGAGAGAGCGATGAAGGCTGTGCCAGTCTGAAATTAAACGTTCAGTCACATGCTTATCATCGTCATTCACTTACTGCGTGCACCTGTAGGATTCCCATCATCCAGGGAAACGACAGGAATCGTCCTGCTGTCCCGCCGCAGAGCTGTAGTGAGACAGAGCGCTCTTTGTCTCAGGGCTGCGCTCATCGCTCACTGCCTTACACCGTAATGTCTGAAGGAACTTCACATTACACCAGTAAAGTTTGAATACTGAAGAGGACGACTCATTTGAAAATATATTAAGAAATACTCTGTTCTGACTAACCGTTTACACGTTGGATCAATTGTTGAATGCTTCCACTTTTCATTATTGCACTTTATGAGCAATCCAGTGAAATGTAATACGGTTTATTGTACCAGTTGTGTGAGGCTGCATTTTCTTTTATTCCTTTTATTCCTTTTTTTCTCACAGTAGGGAGTACCACTGCTTCTGCTTGGGGCAGCACACATGGACACATGGGCTTTCTGTTTAAAGGGGAATAGATTTTAGTGCAACACAAAACCAGCCGTTAGCCTTCCTGCTGGACCAATTTGAGTTTTTTTTGTGAGTTTTTTTTTGTGTGTGTTTATTGTATTTTTGAGACCAACAAGCTAGTCATAGATATCATTGCCCAAATAGGCTTCAAACAGAACAGAAATTGTATATACTTCTGACTTTCACTCTGGTCTTTTTCTGCCTTAGTCTCCAAGTTTTGCCAGTGGCAACAACTTTCTGCTTTGTTTCAACCCAGTCATTATAACAGCCTTTTGATCATTGCAAATAACAGTGGTTTTCTCTTTTAGATTCTGGTGTGAACTGATTGGTCTCATTATTTGAATTAAACCAGAATGTCCTGCAGGTTGGTAGTTGAACTTTAACTGTGTGATAATGACAACCCGCTGCAGCGTGCCCGAGGGAGACTTTCTATTTTTTCTCTTTGTGAAGGAGTTGTAATAAATATAGAGTTTTGTTTTCTTTAGTCAGATAAAACTATTATTATAACCTAGCTTTGACAATAATGCTTACCGCTTATTTTATATCCCTTTAAATATGAGAAGCTTGAGATATGTCTCAGATTTTAGCTTGACATACATTTTTAAGTTTCTTAGTAAGTTGTGTTATTTCATGTCTTTGCATGTGAGAGTGCTACTTAGAAAGGAACATAAATATATAGTTAGTGCTACCATTATATCATGTATGCCACCCAAGTATTTTAATGGGTCACCAAAACAGATCTTTATTGCAGTTTTACCGAAACATCCTTTAAAATGGTAATTGGAACCAAAGAAACCAAAATTACTTTCTACAGTTGACTGGATTTTCTCACATGGCTAGGAATGCATTATGTTATTATCTTGACTTCCTCTTGGTCAGAGACCAAAGGATCGACGGGCTTTCCACATTGACTTCTCTCGTGTAGGCCTAATTGCTGCCTGGCTTAATAACTGACTCACACAACCATTTCTTTCTGTGGCTGATGTGCAGGGAGAAGCATGACTCCTGTGGGAGGTTTTACCATAGGGACTCCCATACATGTCATAGATCACACACGTTTAAACACATTGGTGCTAAGTTGTCAAATATGACACAGACTTCATTTGAAATATTGTAATCCTGAGTCCCTAGAGTTTATGTATAGGGTGATAACGGCAGAAGGAATGAGGTTAGAGAATTAAATGGTTCCCACAATGCTGCAATATGTTAACTGCAATTGGCAAAGATGTCTGACGTGGAAATGGTCTGGTTCTTGTTATCAATCCACCCGCCTCTCTCTCCCTCTCCCACTCTCTCTCTCTCTCCCTTATACTCACTTCCTCTGTCTTTGTTCCTCTGCCATCCTCTTAGATTAAAGTGGTTTGCTAGAAGGTGGTATACGCAGTGATTCATGTAGTCCGAGCCTGCTGCGCCTCTCAAACAGTCTCCATCAGAACTTGATGCTTTCGCAAGCGATTCGACGCTCTGGTTTTTTCGGTAGGGGGTTAGATCACAATTTAATAAAAACTTGTAATCAATAAAACGCATTTGAGTTTCACAGAAAAATGTGTTTATGTATATGACATGTAGGTTAAAAAGATGTGTGTCACATGGAGGTGTTTTTTTTTTTTGCATCTGGAGTTTGTTGACATGACTAAAGACTAGAGAGTAGAGAGATGTTAAAGGTAGGTAAGTTTGAGAAACCGGCTCGAGATCGCTAGAATTTGAAAATACACAGCCGGAGAAAATCTGCCACTTCCTTATAGAGCCCCTCTTCCAACACACACGAACGCGCACATGACCAATGAGGGCACGAGATAAGTTTGTGCACAGATGGAAAGCTGACAGGCAGGTAGGCCATCCAGTTATTTTAGCCGGGCCGGCTAAAATGATTGGTCGTGCTTTTTACAGTACTACGGCTTCCACAGATGACATTTTTTTTATGGATTTTTTGTTAAAGCACTGAAGATATTTATTGCTATTGGGATGTTAAGAGCATTCCATGGAATATAACAAAAAGTGTATCTCGAGCCGGTTTCTCAAACTTACCTACCCCACCTTTAAGTTGTGAAACCCTACATCTAAAAGTGTGCATTGTAAAGGTGAAGTGTGGAGGGAGAAAAATGAAGCACCAGATGCATATAAAAAAAGAAAGCTAAAGCATGTTGATGGCTCTCACTAAAGGCACCAATTAGGGGACAGCGAGGCAAACCATTGTGTCTTTGTAACGCCCGTCAGACTGACTGACAGTACACCAGCTGTCACCTCCATGACTGACACCTGCCTGTTGATTGGCACCTGGTGCAGAGGACTCCAGACAGTTTTGGTGCAGTTGTCCTCACAATGGCAGTGTGCAGCCTTTTTTGTCCTTTTCATTATTTTTATGTCGTTCGGAAGTCGTAGAAACGAGTCTGTGTGGCATTCAGTTGCTGCTGTCTGGTTATGCTTAAACAAAGTTCATAGTTTACTGTACCTTTGCCAACTCTAAAATACTAATATCTAAAATACTTGTTTGTGCAGATGTTGTGTCCAACATTTTCTTTTGAAATGGGAAATTCTTAAATACGAGACAGACGACAGGGATAGTAAAAGCCTGTACTGTAACCTCACCAATTACATTACAATATGATATGACATCTGATGTTGGCACATGTCTTAATAGAAAGTGTAGTAGAGACATTCAAACTAGGTATTTGACTCTTTTGATTTTCCAATTCATGTTAAATATCTAAAATGTTTGTCTAATTATTTGTGTTTTCACTCATGATTATTGGTTTAATCTCGAAAATGGACACTCGTCTTCTTGCTCAAATATTAGAGTTAAATGTTTCAAGTCTTTTTCACAATTCTATAAAAAACATATTTAAGGGCTCAATTCCATAAATGTAGACAGAAATTAATATTGTAATATAAATTATTATCTCCGTGACTCTTAATACCACATATTAGCATCTGCTTCAAAAATCTCATATTAGTCAGACCCGGGCCTGTATTCATAATTACTTTTTCATCCATCTTCCTTCATGGTAGCTTTTCCTTAGACGGTATCGCAAAAAAGCAAACAAAACTTGATTTTGGTCTGAAGAAATGTGATTAAAATCAGCTCCTGTGCTGTAGGTTACCTTGCTCGGCCTCTCCGTAAAGCTGAAGGGATCAGATTCTGGTGGTCTGGGCCTCCACACTTGGCTCCAAAGGATCAATGTTCATGAGGCAACTTCACTTTCCCACATTTTCTGCCCTAAACAGGGGTTCACTCACAAAGCACACACACGTGCGCGCGCACACACACACACACACACACACACACACACACACACACACACACACACACACACACACACACACACACACACACACACACACACACACACGCGCGCGCACACGCACACACATACAGACAAAAGTGTTTTTTCTCTGTGTCACAGGTTTGGCTATTGTTTGATACTTAAAGTGTGCATCTTTTTTTAACACTGTTTATTCCGTTTTAGTTTCATTTATACAGAGGCAAACATATTGTCAAACATATCAGTTGACTTGACAGGTATTCCTGATTTTCTCTTTTCTGCTTATACTTGAAGATATCTGATGATTTCCTTTAACAGAATCCCAGAACATCTATGGTCATGTGACTGATAAAAAGGCATTACAATCAGAGGAGCTTTGGCCTTCAAAAGTTTCAGTAGGACAGATCCCGCGGGGTCGGAGAAATGTTAAGCCCATTTTATGCTGTCTGAGGAGTCATGGTGCCGGAGGTAGACCACCTTTATAGGTCATGTGATATGTGGGTCATCTTGGGGCCCGCACAGTGGATCCCCAGGATCAAACACTCTTTGACTCATTGGTTTATGGGAACTGAAAGGCAACAGGAGTTCTACAGTTACACATACAGTAGAGACGTTTTACATGGCAGTTAGTGACTTGCAACTTTTAACTTAATGATGTTAAGAAGGTGAAGTAGTAAAATGATACCCATAACTCTAAAACTGAGTAGTTGTTATTATGCTGGGGTCAGGTGGCAAATTCCACTGAGTTTCTGAGCTCCTTTTCAAGTTGTTGGTCTCAGTATGAAACCTGTTTGCTGGAGCTTTGATGGCAACGCATCAGTCTTTGTCAGAGCATGTTATTGATTGCTGTGCAGAAACCATCTTCTGCATACAAGGAGTTCAGGCCTGTCTCAAACTGCTGTGTTGAAGATATATTTTGGACAGATTATCTTAAAATCAATACAATATATGTTTTCCTCTTACCTGTTGTGCTATTTGTCATCTAGATTGAAGGTGGGAGATTCCGGTGATATTGGTTGTAGAGATGTCTGCCTTCTCTTGACTATAACACAACCTGATGGAACTAGGTAGGTGGTGCATAAAGAATACATTTGAGAAACAAAAAAATAATATCCCCTCACAGAAATGATGACACAGTCGCTCAGGATAATCCAAAGACCTTGTTGTGAATTTTTTCATGTAAGAACTGTTTTGTTTTTACCAAACTACACCTCCAAACTGGGTAAGCACATAGAAGAAAGCATGTATCTCAGCATGCATCTGCAGAAGAGGAGCCCATTCACTTTTATATCACAAGCATAAGCCTTATGTCCATTCCTGGATGCACGCCGCCTTCTGTGTAGTGTTAGGGTTGGCGGATCTGTTTTGGTAGAAAGAAAAAAGTTCTTGTTTGAGACTGCTCACAATAAGGACCCCGGAATATCTTGAAAAAACGTGATCATGATTGATGAAACATGATTGATAAAAGAGACATCTTTAGAGGAGATAACTATATCACTTGGCTTCCCACACTAAAACAGTCTAAATAGCAAAACACATAAGAGGAAAACATGTATTTTATTTTGTGTGAACTGCACCTTATTTGTTATTTTCGAATGAAGACTTAATGCCACATTAAGAGGCAGGCTGTTCACATGACATGGGTGATTAGTCAAAATGGATGACCTGTTAACTCCAGCCTTCCCTTTCTGTCTCAGCCGGCACTCATTTCACGTTCTCAGAGTCCGGCTGTCCAGACCAGTCCAGCCTTGCAGAGGATAGATACTGTGGGTAAGTGGTGCAGAGCCCTGAGAAGATTACAATGCACGCAGGTATGGAAAAGGCACTCATGACTTTTCAAAAGGGCCTCGGGCTACAAGGGCAATCTTCTGTGTCAGACGCTTATCACCTCTGCTCCGGCTCTCATGGTGTGAGCGCCTTCAGAAGGGGACACCAATATTTTGAACAATTACTCCGCCCCCATTGACTCCTAACCAGACTTTCCCATCAGTTTGATTCACATGCAGCCTATGTTTCAGCATGTCACACTATAATCATGATACATGTGTAACCTTTTACCAAAGTCATTCATGATGTTGAACTGTTAAGATAAAAAGATAAAAAAAAAAAAAATACAAATTCTGTATTGTGTGCTGTAAAAAAATGAAATGGAAAAATTGCACACTAGCTTTGCTCTCAAATGAAGTAAAGTTTACTTGAAATGTAATTGAAGTTATATGCAGTATAGTGTCATTGGCTTAGTCAAGAGGGTTCACATACATCGCTACTGGAAGTTATAATCAGTGCCTCACACACACACACACACACACACACACACACACACACACACACACACACACACACACACACACACACACACACACACACACACACACACACACACACACCAGTAGCCAATCGTGGTGATTATTAGGCAATAGTTGATCAACTGTGGTCCATCCTCTCCCCCGTGTGGAAAAGACAAGCACAAGGGTTAACAGTGAGCAAGTTGATGACTCTCCTGTTGGATTGTCGTGTATTCTGAGATAACCCATTTCCATTTGAGATTATACATGTATTTAGATGGTCTTCAAACGTTATAATGAAATCCAAACATGATACTTTAAAAACACTAACACATTTCAAATAAAACGTGTGCAAACTATTTATTCTCCAGGTAGACATTATTGATATATTTTTTTCATGTGCGTGGACGAGACCTACAACTGTCCTAAATTGCTAAAAGTTGTTGATGGGACGTTCTCCTTCATAATATTGACAGAAATGTGTTTTTGGAACAACCAGTAGACTGTGACTCAAATCCAACCAGTGACATGTCTGCACCACCCCGTTTCCATTGCGCACCCTTGGATATGGCTGGTGCGCTCTATATGGCATCAACTTGATATTTAATCATCAAAGGCTGTTGAGAAAGAAAGCGATATAAACGTGACTTCCCGAATATAAAAGTTCAATTTTGGCATAATTCATTCTTCATTTAATTACTTTAATGCCATTAAAACATCAGATTTGTAAACCATTCTGAAATAAAGATGTAATATCTCTAAAGTAATGTCACCTGCACAAATGATCGATCTGCGGGATACGGAGCAGTCTGATTGGATGACAATGCACCTCTCAGGCACGGTGCCAAATTAAGTTTGTTCCCCCTCCTCCCAAAGGTGTCTCATTCACTTTTCAGATGGGCACTCTGCCCCTCCTCTCCAGCACTTACGAAATAAGAGCGTGCGTTAAGCAAAATTGAACTTGTTTCTTGCCAGCACTTCACGGTTTCTGTCCCTCCGATCAGAACCAGGATCATCCCGGAGTGGGAACCTGCAGCTCTGGAGCATCAAGGAGAACAGAAAGGTGCACCGGGGAGATAAGTGTTGCGCCGGTTTGGAGTGGACATACTTGGACACATTTTACGCACCTATGTGCTGGGACTAACTGGATTTAAGGACATATCTATCGAAAGTTGTGTATTTTATGGAATAAAACACATTTGACCGTAAGTATTCTTCAGTTTGAAATTAATCAATTGAGCATTTTGCTTTAAACTAGATAATTGACAATGTATGCATTATTTGCTTAGTGTCTTGTATTCTGTTTGATTGTTGATATGGAGCACATATTGAAACATAAAAAACAAACATATATTACAGTTAACTTCTCAGTCCACACACTGTTTAGCACGGACGCACCCAGTGATGCCGTGTTGTCCTCAGATAACCTAAACGGTGTGTCCCGCTACTGAGTGAGGCAACTGGACTTCACAAGTCAGCCCTGCGGATTGGCGACAAGTTACCAGTTAGAAGAGTAGATCCTGAATTAAAACGTTAATAATGAATATCATTATTATAATATTCTATTTAGGCTAGTTGAAAAAGGAACAGGTGTTTTTGTGGAGAAAACTACTAAAATAGAAACGGCAGCAAAAGAGAGCAGATATCAAGTTTTAATCAACTTCCTACAGGATCATCTCGATGGGTCTAAACATTTGCGATCTATTACAGCCCCGTGTTAAAAGTGATGATCTTTCGTTGAATTACTCTTTTTTTTCCGTTTTCCTAGAAACCCTTCTGCGACTGCCTGTAGTTTACGCACATCATTCTCCAAATATAAATGAGTATTATTTACATTAAAACAGGGGGAAAATGCCGTTAGAGATTTACTCTCTCTGTTATTGTCTCTTCAAAGTCTCATTTAATTTATTTTCCATTAGGGTGGGTCCGTTGACTTGGGATAGACTATACAATCACTGCCTTTTTCCCACCCAGAAATATTTGAGATGATGATCTTTTGCCTTGGCCAACTGTCATTATAAGATCTGAGTGTCTCGTTTTTATAGAGTAACACAGTCTGCAGCTCCCTTTGCGACCCGCCACTTGTGTTTATACAGTGGGGTTGAAATGAGGACAGGGGTCTCACTGCTTCTGTCCTCCTGACTACAACATCTCTGTAGTTCGACCCCACAAGAAGCTTTCGTTTTTATTTCTATAGGAACAAATGGACACAATATGCCAGCTTATGTGATGTGTCAGATAAATGTGATGTCCCTTGTTTCCATCGCATTTCAAAGTGTCTGTGTCCTGTTTTTGACGAGGAGACCAATTCATTATTAAGTCAATAAAAATGCTTCAGCAATTTAAGTTTAGATCATGTTATCTAGGTTGAGTATTCATTTTGTAAAAAAAGATTTGAGACTGCTATTATGTTTGTATATTTTATTGATTTGTGACATGTGTTTACACTATTTAATTCCTCTGAAGTGCATGATATCATCTTTAGCAGACTTATCTATTATAATGAAATTGAACACGAATGCACTTAAAACACTGTGAGAAACAACACAAAGGCCATGTATGCATTGTTTCCTAATGCATAGTTTTCATTTTTCCAACAGATGTTGCTCTATATAAAGTTTATCCTGTGGCTATATTGTCTCTGTGAAGCTGCATCTGCAACAAGTAAGTTACATGCCCCGTATCTCTTTCTCAATAACAACTTTTCTACCTCCCTCCTTTTCCCCAAATCTCCCCCTCTCTCTCTTTTTTCACTTTACCTTCCCCTTTCTCTCCCCTCCTATCACTTTTTTTATCTTCCTTGTTTCACCAAACTTAAAGTCACTGTAGACGGTTGTCAGTGTTGCTTAAAAGCGTCACTGTTCTTAAAGTAGCAGACTGTGAAAAGCCCCCTCCAGTCTTTTCTGTGAAACCTGCAAGACTTTACTCAATGCTGAGGTTTGCCTCTCAGGCCGCGTTGGCCCCCCTGGCTCCCCTGGCCCCGTACAGATGGACACCTTTCAATTAGACTCTGCTCGCAGTCTGGAGATAACAGCTGGTTTCACCCCTCATCATAATAAGGCCCTCAGGTAAAGCTCACACAGTCATGCCTCCAGGGCTGTCCCACCACTGTGTCCAGAGCATTCCCCACATTGTTTGCTGTAACCCTGCTGTGAAGAAAGGGAAACAAAGGAGAATCAGAATACCTTTATTAGTCCCACAGAGGGGAAATTTGCATCGTTACAGCAGGAAAGAGCCACAGACAGCTTAATGTTACCTATGTTAAGAAAAAAGTACTAAGTTATGATATAATAAAAATATAATATAAAAAATACAAGTAAAAAAAAAATACTTTCCAAAATACAAATCCTTCCTCTTCACAGAGTAGAGCCTGTTGTCATTTCACATCCCCTTAGATTAATCATATAGAAGTCAAATTGAGATACACTAACTGTGTTGGGGCTTAAGCACAATAACATTTAACCCTGTCTGTCTTCTAAGTAGTGAAATATATTGTGTTTGCTGTGGGATTACATTAAATATCCTTATCCTGTGCTGAAATGTGGGTGTGCAACATCAGTAGCAAGTTTTCAGCTGAGAATAGAGTAGGAGGTCATGAAAAGGAAGATACATATGATTATCTAGTGTGCAGCACACTGATGACATATTTCACTTCTTTCTGTGTGGGTCTACCTGTCATCATCATGTTGGTGAAGGAGGGATTTTTTTTAGAAGGAAAACTAACATGCACAGAACTCAGCTGTGGCCTAACCTGAACTGATGCAATCATGACTCCACTGTTTAACCAATTATCTTTAACTTCATCCAAACATGCTGCAAAGACGCTGCAGTCAGTGTTGAATGTGTTCCCACACCCAGCATTTTAAGGATGAGGTTTGACTTTCCAAGAGCCATTTAAAGGCTATGATGCATGTTTTCTTTTATTAGGCTGGGTGTAGGCGTCACACCCCATCAATGTAAATGAGTCGGGCAGTTTTTAATGTCTATACTTGCAACAGTTAACATTAAAGTAAACAGAAGAAAGACATGTTTTAGCATAGAACAAAGCAAAAGATAATACATAAATAAATAAATAAATGTATATGATTGTAAATGCATTTTTAACCCTTTTGCTTTTTGCCTTTCAGCCCCCAACGCATTATCGATCATCGCACCAGTCACTGGGTCCCTCTCAGGGAAGGTAAATCTTCCCTGCTTCTTCTCCACCATCCCAACCTCAGCACCATTGATCAGTGCCGATGGAATTGCCGTTCCTAGCAGAGATCAATTACGGATCAAATGGACCAAAATAGTTGGAGACGTGGAATCCACAGTGCTGGTGGCACAAAATGGTGCCATCAAAATAGGCTCCGTCTACATGCACCGTGTGTCAGTGCCCAGTCACCCTGAGGATGTAGGTGATGCCTCGCTGACGATGGTAAAGCTGCGTGCCAGTGATGCCGGCACTTATCGATGTGAAGTCATATACGGCATTGAGGACACCCAGGATACAGTTAACCTTGATGTTGATGGTAAGAAATTCATAATATCCTTCCCGGGTCATATCAAATTCTCTAAATTATCTCCCCCAAGATGTTCTATAAAAGTAGAGGGGTTAGCTGCAAGGGTTTTATTATAGTGAAATGCAATACAAGTGGTGATAGATATGTAAACAATATGAGAGAACCATGGGCGCCCTTGTGCTTACTTTGATAGCAGTCGCTACCCACTAGTTACTCAGAATAACCACAGTTTTCGATGCCTTCTTAAAAGAGATGAGTCTTGGGGTCCCTGTCCATACAAAGTACTTGAGTGTTTACATTCCAGTGTTCAGACATCTAAGCCTATAAGTAATTACCCATATATGGATGGTATTCCACAAGTTGACAGAATAAAAGCTATGTTATAATCTCACCAATCCCTGTCATCTTTGGTGCCACCTTGTCAGTGGAGATGTTTCTCTCTGTGGGGCACGCTTTTATTGAATAATACAGTATTCCTTAGTACCCCTCCCCATAAATGATATATATATATATGATGATGCGACATTGGTGCAGTACTCTCCTTGTGGGGGATCCCTACATAGTGTAATTATGTGCACACTATGTGTCACTTGATAAGTATTCTGTGAGATATGACTTATGTTTCGGGATGCAGAAAACATGGGTGGGGGATGCTGGGATAGTTTTGGTTTTCACTAGTTTTCAGTCTGCAATGTTAATTAGGTCTATCAATCATATCCTCTGGGTCTGTTTACTGTCCACAAATATGGGAATTTCAGGGACATGGCATCATCTGCAGTTATCTTGTTCATTTGTGGTAAACTCTAACAGTATTTGGTTTATCCTCTTGGTTTATTGCAAAGCGTTCCCCTTTCCAGAGAAGTTGGGAGACTCAATTATTTCACCCATGGTGTGTGCTTTATAAGACATTTGACATTATTTATGGCACTGAAATTACACTGATGAATTCCAGATTTGTACATTCATGTTTTTATACACAAAACATTTAGTTTCACTTTTGGATGGTCAAGTTTGATCCTATTTCTTGCCAGGTGTTGTGTTTCACTACCGGGAAAGCACCAGCAGGTACACCTTGGACTACCAGAAGGCTGTCGAAACCTGCCAAAATATTGGAGCATCCATTGCTACATATGAGCAACTGAAAGCAGCGTATGAGGATGGCTTTGATCAATGTGATGCCGGCTGGATTGCTGACCAGACAGTGAGGTTAGCTGAGTTTTAATCATCTGCTATGAACTCATTTACTTTAAACAACACTGTTATTTATCTGATGTGTGACATTCTTTGTTCATAGATAAGATGATATAACCTATGATCATTTATTTGTTTTTCTATCCGTTCAGATACCCAATTACAAGGCCAAGGAAGGGCTGCTTTGGCAACCTGAAAACTAAACCTGGTGTCAGGTCGTATGGGACCAGGAAAGCCACAGACACCTACGATGTATTCTGTTTTGTGGACAAACTTGCTGGTAAGTCAGCCATAAATGTGGCTTTTCTAATCCTATAGAAAGGAGGTGTCGTTCAGAGGCAGTGCCACACCCTCTGAGATGAGGAAACCTGCCAAATGATCACAGTGCCAAAGCAAATTACTTTTACTGCTTATAAAACCGATGTGGAAACACGCCTAATTTAGTTCTTTGAATATGGTATTGGTGACAATTTGATTTTTATACATTGTGTTACACCATACATTTTCTCATGTTGCAGAAAATGAGTTAGAGAGAAGCACTTATTGATCTAATTCTTACGCAGGACTCACAATTTATTCCTATAATGGTGTTGAAAAAGTTGGAAACCAAAATGCGATAATGGGGTTTTTTGATTGCACTTGGCAAAGTTTAAGGGAAGTCCTCACATCTCAGCCAGAGTCTTTGAGTGTGTGTTCATTATCCAGCCTCTAACTCTTGTTGGACTCATTTTCACTCACAGCGTTTTATGAGAACTAACATGCCTCTTGATACTTTAACTCCAGTCAGCATTCTGTAGTTGTTCTTGTTATCTGGGATCTATAAAACGCAGCCCTGCTACAGCACAGTTGCAAATCAATTCGTTTCTAATTTGAAGCCATCAGTCAGCATTGTGATTTGTATTTTACATTTTACGAACAGATGTAGACAATGGTGTCAGCCAGGGCGCGTCAACCTTTACATTTGTTTTATGTATGAAGTAAACTGAAACACTTCTGTCTGGCATATTTGCCTTCAGTTTAAAGGAGGCAGTTAACACACCATATGTCTTACACTGGAACTGAACTTGGGACGTGGTTTCATTGGTCTTTAAACTGTAGACACAACACAATCCTCAGGATATTCATTAGTTTAATAATCTTTTTGAATATCTTCTCAGTGACCTACCCTTTATATATTATGGGAAAGCTGCATGTTGTGTTAATGTGGTTTGAAATGCTTTGAAGTTGAATATGTTTTTGACTGGTAAGACATGTCTGAGTGGGAAAAGCATCTCCTTATCTCAATGCCATTGTAAATCAATGGGATAACATCGACATACATCCAAGACTAACTGAAAACATGTAGTCAGCCAGCCATCCTATTTGTAACGTTGTTTTGTTTTAATTGACATCTTGCCTTTCAGTAGACTTTTGTTTAGATGATCCTACAGACAAAGACACATATTCATAGTTGCTGTAGTGCAGTCAGTTTTCAAAGTGAAGACTTTTCCATGAACAGCTAGAGGGAAGGAAACATTGAAGGTGTGAACTTTATCACTCCGGTGGGAAACCTTATGACGTAAACTACAGACACAATCATTGACAGGCTACCACATTGTCTGCATTGCTATCCCACCTCCGATTTATTTAATGAAAGAACTATTGTTGTCCTAAATGTGATTGGTGGGGGATGTTTGTGTCTGTGTCCTGCAAATCGGTGACTTCGTCAGCAGTTTTTTAGGCTGCGTCTGTACTGAAATATCAAACTGATCAAAAAATCTGGAGTTTGAGTTCACTTTAAATAATATACCGTTTAAGCTTTGTTTTTAGTTCAAAATATTGAAAAATGAAATATGGAATGACTTTCTGTCCATGTTTGATACAGAACTGATTCATGGCAATGTTTGTGGAATTATTTGAATACTGTATGAATGCTCTGGGTGTTTGCTCTCTTAAAGTAATCATATTATGTTGCCATGATCACTGAGGATTTGTTGTCATGTTCCTTTTGAGTTAGTGCTTTTGTTAACTGTTCTTTGCATTTTGCCATCTTTGTTTCAGGTGAAGTGTTCTATGCTCCTGTGACCCCTAAGATGACTCTTAAGGAAGCCAGTGCAGAGTGTAGGAACAGGAAAGCTGTCCTGGCATCCCCGGGCCAGCTCCACGCTGCATGGCGACAAGGCCTGGACAGATGTGACTATGGCTGGCTCTCCGATGGCAGTGTACGACACCCTGTGGCAGTACCCAGACTGCAGTGTGGGGGAGGCCTGCTCGGAGTAAGGACCATGTACCGCTACAGAAACCAGACTGGCTTCCCAGAACCAACCAGGAAGCTTGGGGCTTACTGTTTTAAAGGTACAATTACTCACAGTGTCTGGTTGTTAGTATTTAGTTTATTTACCCTACAGTATGTCATGGAACAAAGTGATATCTGCCTCGGTATAGGTTCATTCCTTCGTATAGACACTGACAAAGTGATTGAAGGCACAAACCATTCACTGTTAAAACCAGGCCTGGACTAAGAGGAGTTATGATCTCACGTCTCTATTTGCGTCTGCTCCCCACTTTGATTTTCTGCTCCTTTGCACCGCCTTCCCACATTTTGAAATGTTTACAACCTGTCTCATTTTTTCTCTATTGTTCTAAAAGGAACAATGTATGACTTATTGTGTGTCACATGCCACACTAGTATTACAGATTGAAGAGTCCAGGCAATAACATTTGTCAAGATGGGAGTCAAATCTCTTTACTTTAGAAGCAATGGACATAGCAGTTCTTATTCCAATGCGGGATTAATGACCAACAGTGAGTACGAGTTTGTGAGCAGTCAGTATCTGTCTGAAACCTTAATTAATTCAAGCTGGGCTAATCCATACTGCTTTCTTCTTAAACAACCTCACTTCTGATGTGAAACAGACTACAACTTTTTTTCCTGTTCAAGATTATCACAGCTTTCATTTTAGATAATTTTAACACATTTATAGTCAGTACATTTCTGTAAACTCTTGGACACATTTTCATTTGCATGGGAATTTATCTTTTTTTCAAACCATGGTGACCAAAGGAAGTCAGGATAATAAAGCTATGAGTCCTTATTAATAGTGACACTTCATGGTTCACTGGAGGTTAGCACAATAATGGTAATCCCTTCTCAAAATAAGAGTGTTCTTAACTAATCAGTATCCCCAGGGTGAACACCAAATGATTGCCACCATCTAGATATGCAGCAAAAGTAAATAATACCTCAGCCTTTTTAGTCTCATTATCTAACTCCCTTTACGCCTTTCTCATCTTGTTTGCGCTGTCAGAGTTTGCCCCCTGTCACTCTCACTTGTACTTATCAGAGCAGACGTTTGGATAATGGACACAGCTACTGCTGGACTTCTAAATCCAGTCATCCTTGGCGACCCCTGACCTGGCCTTTCCATCTTTACAAATGAGAGGTTGGACAGATAAGCTGTCCCCTGCCTGGCCATTTACTGCCCCTGAGCTATGCTAGCTCTCGCGGTGATAAGTCCCCATGGAGTTCAGAGGGCACACAAACAGGCCACCCTCACCTCCTGCTCTGTGTATTCCATGTCAACTCTCTCAGTCCTGTTGTATTTACGCTCCTGTCTAAGTGCTTTTCAAGTACCCTTGTTTGGTTGGACCCACTCCATCATTTCCTGCTTTCCCACTCTCAAAAAAAAGTATGTAAACCTACTTCAGTTAGACTACACAGAAAGACAGGGTTAACAGAGGTTGTTGCAAAGGCCAAATCGGGATGGACTGGGAAAACAAAAGCCCCAGTAACAGCTTTGGTGAGATAATGCACTCTCTGAAAGCAGGCCCTTTTTTTCTTGTAAGGAAAAACATGTCTCACCCCTTACATCAGAGATAGTTTCATGAAAAAAGAGGGCTAGTACGTAATGGTCAACAGCTGGCTTTACACGGTCTGTCTGGGCCAGCAAGGAAAGCTTTCTAAGTTTCATTAAGTGGGTGTGAGTAAATGAGAGAGCACGGGAGGACATAGAGGCAGAGGCAAACATAAAGGAAGTAAAGGGATTATAAAGTAGACAAGTTCATTAGAAGCATTCGAAGACCAAAACGGAGGAACGATTAAATCATGGCTGCTGCTCAATGACAGGGCTACATGCAAGTTAAATGTGTAGGAGAGACACAGGGTACAGGAATGACTAAAATAATCATGGCACCTCTAGCAAAACCAAAACACTAGATAACCCAAGGTTGAAATGCTTCCCTGCTACATGTGAATCCTGTTCAAGCAGATCCGGAAATGTTTAAAGTAGTACTGAAAGTGCACTTTAACGTTTAACAGAAAAGAGTACACTTTGACAATAACCTTGTCTGCCGTGAGATAATATTTCTTCAGGAAAATTATCATGATGGCGGCTGTGGCTCAGTGGATAGAGTGCTGGACTTCGAATCAGGGGGTAGCAAGTTCGAGTCCCACTGCAGTCAGCATGTCGTTGTGTCCCTGGGCAAGATACTTCACCCCAAATTGCTCCTGTGGGGATTGTCCACAGTACTGAATGGACTGCTTAACAGAGATAAAATCCTGGCTGAGCAAAAACTTTCTCAACCTCAACGAGAGCAAGACCGAGGTAATCTTTTTTGGACCCCAACCTCCAGCCTCTCCGGTTGATATTCTGGATCTCTCAATAAAAACATACTCCCCTCTGTCATGAACCTTGAAGTGACCTTCACAAGCACTTTTAAATTCGACAAGCAGGTCAGCACCGTAGTAAAATCCTGCTTTTTTAAAATAAGACTATTGGCCAAAACCAAGTCGTATTTATCTTTTAATGACTTAGAAAGGGTTATTAACGCCTTTGTAACCTCGAGACTGGACTATTGCAACACTCTGTACGTGGGTATGGACCAGGCCTCAATTAAACGCCTGCAGCTAGTCCAAAACGCTGCTGCACGTTTGCTGACTGGCCACAAAAAGCGTGACCACATCACCCCAATTCTGGCCTCACTGCACTGGCTTCCAGTTCGGTTCAGAATTGATTTTAAAATCCTTTTATTTGTTTTTAAAGCACTAAATGGGCTGGCTCCGGCCTATATAGCTGAACTGCTCCAGCGCTACACCCCAGCCAGAGCTTTAAGGTCTGCTGACCAGCTGTTGCTGATAGTGCCCAGAACCAGGCTCAAAACCCGAGGGCACCGAGCCTTCGCAGCAGCTGGCCCTAGGCTCTGGAACACTCTGCCCCTCCATGTGAGGTCGGCCCAGACCCTAGGGGTTTTTAAATCTACACTAAAAACACACTTCTTCTCTCTGGCCTTCTAGTTAGAGCGGAGCACGACTCCTGACTTTTCCCTGTGTTTTTTTTAAATATATATCTGTTGTAATTTATTGTCTTTTATTGTGATTGTAGTAATGTGTTTTTATTACATGTACAGCACTTTGGCTCGACGAAAAATCGCTTTTAAATGTGCTTTAGAAATAAAACTTGATTTTGATTTTTTAATTTTTGATTTTGAATGTATGTTAGTCGCTTTGGATAAAAGCGTCTAACAAGTAACATGTAATGTAATGATAGTTTTGGTCTCTCTGATACCTTAACATAATTATTTCCCAACCGTTATCTAGATTAAAGATAAAACTAAGTTTCATAACTAAGCATTGTTTCCATTGTTAAAAACATTATAAAAACAGGACAGAAATGAATGTTAGTATAGGTTATAAACAACATTAGGAGTTAAGAGAGGAAGCCCTCTACAATACAGTTTCTAGGAAACTTTCAACTTTGGGTACTTAAATGTGAAGTGTCACATTGCTATTGCAGCTGTGGCATATTGCTCTTTGACTGCTCTTTGACTCAAGACTTGTCTCACAAACTGTCGGCCTTACAATAAGGTATAACGATGTACATTTGTATCATAATTGTATGTGTAACATTTGATTTAAGTGAGGGGATTGCCATTTGTTGAGTTCATCTTTGCATCTTTCTGCAAATCAGCAGGGCCTTTGGATCCTTAAAGTGTTGTAAACAATTATCTTTACTGCTTTTTTATTGTATCTACTTGTGTGTTCTCAGGAAGGACTAAGGTGATCAACCAGACATCCTTTGTGGATATGTCTGTGGTGGAAATCCTCACCACCACCATCACTTCTCCCACCACCGCCCCTTTGCTGGAGAGTAGCACGACTACACTAACCCCAAAAGCTGAAACAGCGTCAGAGGCAGAAGGGTCTCCCGACTCTGCAGTTCCTACACATATTCCATATATGTTCTCGACTAGCATGTCTCCACCTCTCACCACTCCTGCAGACCAGGAAGAAGAGTTATTCACCATAGTTGCCCCCACAATCAAAGAGGAATATGAAGACCCTGATGATGTATCAGCCACACCAGACGATGACTTAGAAAGTGAAAATGTAACCACTGTGGAATATGATCCCTACAAACATACAACAGAGAGCACTGATACCACAGAGTCAACAGCAAGATCCTACGAAGAGCCGGACGATGAGATAGTTATTGAGATCAGAACAATCCAACCTGATATCCCCATACCAGACGCCTCTCTCAGCACAGAGCCCATGTTTGCAAAGGGGAGCACTGAGGAAACCATTGTAGATCCTGGGATCACCTCGGACCTCACAGACACTCCAACCGAATCAACAGAACTGACCAGTGAGGAAGTGTTCATCCCATCAGAATCACCCTTGACCGCTGAGCTTCATTCGACAACACCATTCCCAGACTACATTGATGAGATTGTGACACAGTTTCTTGTAGAGGCACTACCACCAACTCGACCACCCCAACAAGACCTCTCATCCAGCAGAACAGAGAGCACTGAAGGTACAACTTTCCCCAGAGACACCCCCTTTATGTGTAACACCAGACCTGGCAGTGAGGAGGAGATCACCACCACAACAGGACTGCCAGGGACTACAAACACTGCTACAGAAACCACTCCTCAAACCAAGGATGTAGACACACCTTCTGACATCTACAAGGACGAGACCACATCTACAGCTGCGACATCCGCTATTATTGATGTAGGAACCTCAGCTCAAGATGTGACCACAAGTGTACAAGTATTTGATGAGTCCATCCCTCTGGTGCCAGAGCACAGCGGTGAGTCCCTGCCAGAGGAGCACACAGCAACAGAGTTGGACAAAGAGTTCTTTACATCCTTCCCCATGGCTTCAACGGTGGCTGACAAGACCACCACTCCAGGTACAGAGTCCATCCAAGTGACCACCGCCATGCAAAATGTATCAGGTAAGACATACCAACAATTCATTTGATCTTTGGGGTTTTATTAGCAACATTGTTCTCAATTGAAATGGTTCTAATAATTAAATTGCAGTTCAGATTTGGTTGTGCGAATAGGAACTGGCATATTATGATTATTCAGAACAGTAATGAAATAGTAAGTAATCGGAGGAGGGCCTTCTTAATAACAAACATGTGGGAGATAGTTAAACATTGTCATAAGCTGGCCTGTAATTTACTGTTGTCAAATGATCTCTGCAATCTGGTATACTCATATACTGTGTCCACTTTACTGAAGGGAGATGAGACTTTTTATGTGTTGCTCGAATGTGTGTTGCTGTTTGTTACCAGTTGTTGTTGTTGTGGTGGTTTGTTGTGGTGATATAGGACTTCAAGTATCATTTATTGTCATTATGCAGCACAGTGTTGCACAACAAAACAGAAGTAGTAGTGCATTTTGGAAATGCCTTTTTTAAATGTGCAACAGTATGATAACATACAACAAACAACAGTGAATTATCTGGGCAGATTATGTGGCCAGCATCTTTTCAAAAAAATTAAACATCACATTTTTACCACTGGAGTCCTGCACTCTGTCCGGACGTCCGCCCATCAAGTACAAAACTGTAGCAAAGTTCATGGGACCGTCGTTTTGTATTCTTCAACATACATGTAATGGTACAGAAGCTGGGAGTTGTGCTGTAGGAGGCTCTGCTGTCCAGGGTGCTGAAGTAGAGAGATTGTTTGCTGGAGACAGCCAGTGAAATGTATAGAGGCTGGATTCAACTGACTGTAACTGTAAATGTATACCCATAGGCAATGTATAGGCCCTTAGGTATTTGGCACATGGATGTTGGTTATTTAACCCAGCCAGCTCAAACCAAAGCTCAAGCCAATACTGATACTGATATTTTTTCTGTATGACTTATGTATGATAAAGAAGACTGTTAGCCTTACAGTAGAACCTCCTGCTGACAAGATGGTCTGAAAATGATTTTGACAGAGACAACAAGAAAAAATATGGGAACGATGTCGGGGATAAATGACTCAAATATTCTTGAGTTGTCAATTATGGTATTGAAGACATGACTTGGAGATAATTGTTTCAGCAAATTGGGATATTGGAAATACTTATACAAAGCCATGACTTTCTGCTCAAAAGCTCCTGAAGTTGCATGTTAACAGAGGCTGGATGCTTTTGTTCTCATTTTATTTGCACTCCATCAGAGCTGCATTCGTTGCCATGTTGCCTTTTCCCTGAAGAGCAGCACTTGTTGGTGGGAAGGGATCTGTTATATTTGAAAGGTCAAAAGGGAAAGCGTTGGTAATTAAGCAGTTTTTGGATCTTTGTCTGGAGTTGTGGTAGATGACTGAGAGAGCAGCAATCTGTTCTCCAGGTTATACAAACTCCAAGCTGCCAGTGTGGTCATGAGCACTGTGTATGTGCAGAGGGGTCAGTTAGTTGGCCAAGAGTACCCATTACCAAACTTGTTTGTTTGTGTCCACGTGCAATACTGAATATGAAAGAGATACAACATCTGTCTGTGCGTCTTCTAGCGTGTGTGTATTTGTATTGCAAATCACTATGTATTTGCAGCGTTTCTATCCTTGTGTGTGTGTGCACCAGCTTACTGACAGCGAGCCTGGCAATAACTGAGTTGTGTTGGCAGTCTACCTGAGTAAGCACAGATGCCTGTCTTCAGCAGTGACCAGACACCACCTCACAAGGTGATCTCATCATTAACACAAAGTCTGCCCTCTGTGAGGGCAGCTGAGGCTGACTGAGCAAAGCGAGTGATTCTACAAACTTTTACTGCCACATCATGTGATGTGCCTCAGCTGAGGGACTAAAGGACTTATTTTGCCCTCTCAGTTTGTGTGTGAAAAGGCTTGTGGAAAATATTGTGGCACAGGGATAAGTGTGTCGCCTGGCTGCATGGTAACAAAGAGTAGCTTAATACTGATAGTCGTTGTTTGTGCAGTGTTATTGTCATGTGAACAGTGCCCATGTGTTTCTGATAGACTGAAGACAATTCAATGAATTGTTTACCAAATGTTTATAAGTAGATCTTGTAAGGCGTGCCGACCACAGATGTCACAAAACAATGCACAGAACCACCATCAGTGCTTTGTCATGATTAGGGTTGCAAAGGGGCAGAACATGTATGGGAATTAATGGGAATTAATGGGAACTAACTGGGAATTGAGGGTAATGTAATCTAATTGTATCATATCCAAGCATAAATATAAACATTTTGTTTTGTCATAAGAAAACATCCATGCAAAATGATACAATTAAAAAACATGACATTTCAACAGATTTATTTGTAAGTAGAACAGAAGAAGTTTTAATTATTTTATTGAACAATCATTTGTTTCATTGGAGAACAAAAACATGAATGTTGAGTTAAATATTACTCATCCCCCCAACCCCACTCATTCAAAAATGAACAAAAATGCACCCCCCATCCAAATATCCCCACAAGAAATCATCTGTGCATGTGATGGAGGAATGCACAGTGCCTGTAGGGGGTGTGGTCTCAATAGCCATGCAGTAAGCAGTGTGCTATGTGCATGTGATGGAGGAATGGCATGGATATTCAAGTGTTCTTGAATGGCATCTGTTTGTTTTAGTCAAGATTATGCTAATGTACTTTCCCCAACTATATTTAAGTTTCCTATGAAGAGCCCACCTTCAATTTAGAAAATTCCCAGTTTATTCCCGTTTATTCCGATAAATTCCCGTTAATTCCCATGGAAAGTTTCCATCTTTTAAAATTCCCGGAATTGTGCAACCCTAGTCATGATAAAGCATCTGTTAACATTAATTTGCCATCATTTTCTGAATTGATCCTTGAAGGAAGAGTTTTACGTTTAGGGAGATACACTTTATTACCATTTTGAGACCCATGACTTCCTGGAGTCTCGGCTTGTTGCATCATAGTAACTGGACCCGCCCAATTAATTGTTGTTTGTTTGTTGTAGCTCTTGTACAGAGCCAGGATAGCTGCCTCCTCTTCTGTTTCCGTCTGAGCTCTGAGTTCCCTGGGTGTTAAACAGGTGTCCTTCTGCAGAGCTCAGCTAGTTCAAGTGTTCTTGGTGCAAACAACAATCTGTATCACCATTTGTGGGAAACCGAATAGGGGGACAAGGGGCAAAGTGAAACATAGAGGGAAAGAGAGGAATATTGAGAGAGAGAATGGAGAGAAGTTTGTATACCAAATGATTTCATGTTTTGTGCAAATAATCTTTTCCTTTTCTTTGCTTGTACATTATGCAACCAATGGTAAACAATTGAGGCTCAACAGGAACAAGCTGTTCATTTTAGGATTCACTGTGGCTCTGTTCCTTTTGCCACCTGGCCTAAGCATAATAACACATTTGTCAAAAACAAAGCCCTGTGGCTCACTCTCCAAGGTTAAAAACATGTACAAAAAGGGATGACGGTGAATGAGAGAGATGAAGTTAATTTACCAAAATGAAGGGTTTTTATTTGGGTCAGTCTTCATCAGTGACACGCTACTCTACAGACACATTATATTGACAGTCAGTCCCATCAGGTTTTTCCTCACACCAACCCTTAATTTTCTTAAAAAGAAGTGCATTAACCTAAATCATTTTCTTTAAAAGATGATTAATAATTAAAATGAGTTCAATGAATTGGAGCTTTAATAACCTTTTTTTAGGTGTGTTCTGTAAAGTAGTTTAAGGCCAATATCTTATAAAAAAGGTGAATCATGTCCAGCAAGACAACATCTTGTTTATTTATCTAACTAATAAATGAACAAGGTCAAGGCAATCAGAGGCAAAACCGTGTAGGTGGATGATGATATTGTCTGCTACTGTACAAAGGGAATTGAACACTGCTTCTGTGTTAGTGTTCAAATGAATAGCAGGCAACTGCCGACAACTGAAATCACTTTATCTGTGAGTCTGTGGACCTCTAGTGGATGTTGTAACATTAATCATTCTATACATGTTTTGATTTAATTCTCCTCTTATATTTTACAGTAAGTAGTAGATTGTGAGGATGATGGATGGATTCATATTTTATATCCTACATGCATGGGCATACAACTACAGTATGATATATGCCATAAATGCTGTTGGCATGATGAATCTCAAATAAGCTTCGGATGGCTGTTTGTGTGAATGTTTATAGCTCCTGATGGGCAGGTGACACTTTGTATTGCAGCCCCTGCCACCAGTGTATGAATGTATGTATGAATTGAGGAGTGCTGAGTTGTGTTTAAAAGCCCTGTGAGTGGTTAAAAAAGGAAAATAAAATTGTAGTAGAATATCAACAGGTCAAAGCTGTTAACATTGTTGAATGACTTGGCAATGTCTATGTTCAAAAGGCCTCTTCATATTTGGTTTTCACATCAATTTAGAATATAAATCTTTGAATAGTGGTTTGGATAAAGCTCAGACATTAATATGTTCGAGAAAGATTTATGTGCAGTGTTTCGCAATGTTTGTTTATTTCAATTTCTTTTTTAAATAATGTTTCTGTGGGAATACTCGTAATACTGTGAAAGTTTTGTTGCTGTGCTAACCATATATTTATCATTTTAAATCACAATGGTTTTAGTCACAAATGATACAATTGTTAGACTCTCTCTTTGAAATGTTTGTCTCAAAGGCTAATCCGAGATTACCCTGACTGATCATTTAATTTAATTAGAAAAATGGTGGAGTTCCCCCATGAAATTAGTTTTTTAATTTGTTGGGTGTTTTTCCACTCACAATTAAAAAAACATCTCTTTTATGTGATGTGTGTAACAGTGCGACAATCTTTGATACAATATCAAACCATGACCTTTACTTTCAGATGATTGGCAAATAAATTGTCACAATTTGCCCCTTTTCATTTATTTTCTTTGCAGTTGACCTGGTTATACTACCACAAGATACTCAGTCTCCTGCCATACCAGTTGTGCCTGACCATCCCACCCCCTCCATAGCCGATGGTGAGCCCATCCTGCAGAGTGGAGACCCAGATTTTGCCTCCCAAGCAGCAGTAACCATCACTCCAACGGTTAGCTTTATAAATGGTAGACATGAAATCACACTGGAGCCACACAGCCAGATAGAAGAAGAGGCCAAAGGTACCCAGATTATGACAAATGTGACAACTCTGGGAGCAAGTGATGAAATAACCACAGTGTTTGATTATACCGATCTCCCTGTTGATAGCTCCAATGAATCTATAGAGGAGCAGACGACAATGCTGACCTCTACAGAGATCCTAAATGAGTATGAAACTGATATAATCCCAATAGTCGAATCGACACCTCCTCAGATACTCCCTGGGGTAGATGAACTCACTACAAAAGGCCCAACACAGAATGACACAACCTCTGTTCCAGCCTCAACAATGGAGAACACAGAATCGAAAAGTGCACTAAAAGTTGAAGCTGGCCCAGCTGTCACATACGACACAGAGAGGATGTATAATATCACAGCTACCTCTGCTGACTTTGTTCCTACAGTAACACCAGCTGCATCACACATCACCACAGTAACTAAAGAAACCCAAACCACGAAGGCTGATATGAGAACCACGTCTGTCGTCACCACATCTGCACAAGAAGAGGTAGGCGAGTCAGGGAGGACTCCGCTGTATGTGAAAAGTGACTCATACGTGACTCAGACAGAGAAGCCTAAGGACCAATCCCCTGTTACTTCTTTAACTGAACTTTACACAGTCAGAGATAAAGCAGAAACCACAGAGGAGACAAAGAGCACATCTGCCCCTCCAGCTGCTGAAGACAGCACACAGTCTACATTACAGACTGTGTACACTCCCTTCTCCGATGACGCTGATGAGACAACACTAACATCAACAACTAGTGACTCACAGAGTTCCACTCCAGATGTGGAAGGAGAGAAAGAGACCCAAATCCCAAAAGAATTTGCCTTCAGCACAACAGCTCCTTTAGTATCAAGTAGTTTAACCACTCATAAACAGACAGCCAAGACTGAGATAACACCAGCTATAGATGTACGCAGCACTGAGTCATCAGCATCTGTACCATCTACCCTGGCTGAAAATGTAGAGCGTACAGTCACGAGTCAGGGAGGAAGTACAGCCAGCCAAATGTCTTCAGTCTCATCAGCAGAGAAAGCTACAACTGATGCAATGTCTACACCAGAGGAGGAGGGGTCGGGGGTTCAAACAGTGCAGTTGACAACTGGCTCACCATCAGAAACATCTGCAGGGACAGCAATATCAGGCATTACACATAGAGATCAAGCTACAGGGGAGAGTGAATTAACATCACAAACAGAAACAGCAGGCAAAGATATAACATCTGTTTATTCCACTGGTGAGTTAAAGAAAATGTCAACACCCACCACTATGCATGAAGAGTTGAAACAGGATGAGACAACAACTCCTTCCTCACATAAATCCATTGCAACCACTGCTTCGACTTTATACAGTGCTATTGAAATG